CGGATGCTTTCTAAAGCTTTGAAGCTTATCTAGGCTAGTGATTACATGCCTAGCTCGGGGCTGGACAACAGTTTATGTGCAATAATTCCAGATGAAACTGCTTTCCATTTGTTCTTCCCATGCTTTTGTAGGCATTGAAACACCCGTATTTTCAAGTTGGTCATGTACTAGGCCCTTCCTCACATCATCTGGAATTGAGAGAGTCTTTAAAAAAGCCGGTTCAGCCACTAGAACTGAAGCCATCTTTAGTGGATCTAGAACCGAAGCCTCTGGCAGACGTAAGTGATCAGACTGTAGGGCAGCCCCAGCCGAGAAACAGCCACCAGCCACTGAAGCCCATCCAGCTGCCGCAGAACGTGAGCGTCCAGCAAGCCCCAAAGCCGCAGAGTCACCAGAAACCAGGGCAAACGCTGTTTCCAAGTATCGTCAAAAACATGCCAACCGTAAGCAGCCCATGATGACGCTTTACATACAAGGTTCTGATTCAGTTAGGACTGCGTTTCTAAGCATACCTAAAAGTGTAGGAGAAGATATGTAAGATTATTTTATGCTAAAGCCCCTGCATCCTCTGGCAGGAGCTTGTTATGAGATTACTTAAAATCCGATGTGGTTTATGAAAAGAACTATCAGCATGAACATAGAGTTTGCATGCTATTGACTTTAACAGTTACTTTGGTGCAAAAGAATTCAACAAAAGAATTAAAAAGATTCTGGGACTCAAGAGAGCTGGTCCTGAATGCTAAGGATTTTTACAGTAATTTTGTACTGTTTCTGAGTGCTAATGACCATGAACAGAACGGCTTTTTTAAGTGTCAGGCATAATAAAAAACTTCATCTTCCCTCTTCTGTTCAGTTCAGAGAGCTTATCAGTTGCCCTATATTTTAACCTTCTCTTCATGATGTATAATTCCAAATGCATTTGCATTATGAGCATTTTAGGACTGAAACAGATATTAAAGGATGCTGTGTCTAATTCCTTATCCAGTCCTGCAATCCTTATATAAATAAGCCATATGCCCAATAGCACTAATCTCACTCTAACATACTATTAATTACTTGTTTTCTATGTGCATTATTATCTGGCTCTTCCTACTAGAATGTAAGCTACATGAGGTCAAGGATATTTGTCTGTCTTGTTTTATCAGTACAGATCCTGAATCCAGACAGTGCCTAGTGTGCACATGGAAAATTCTCAAGAAGTATCTGTTGAATAAATGAATAATTGCCCATGCTATTTTTGAAACAGCTTCAGGGTCCTCAGAAGTCTTTGGAGCAATTCTGACCATTAGAAAGTTCTTCCTTATACTGAGCTAAAATCTGGCTTTCTTTAACTTTTAATAAAAGTTAATCACTAAAACCAAAGGAAAACAGAAGGAACAAAACAGCATTAGATTCATAGACACTGAGAACTGACTAGTGGTTACCAAGGAGGGCAGTTGGGACCGGGTGTGGGGAGAGGGTATAAAAGGGCACAATAATTTTCAATCACAATATAAGCTGATCACAGGGACTGCTGAACCACTGTGATGTACATTTGAAACCAACATAGGATTGTATATTAACAATACTTTAATAAAAAAAAAGTTAATCACTGTTCTGGAAAAGCAGCCTTTCAGATATTTGAAAATAGCCCTGATAGTATCTCCCCTTTTCTCTAAAAGAAACATCCCCAGGTCCCTCACGTGTTCCATGTAGGACACATTCACTGATTTCTGAGTAACCCAAGGTTCCTGTATATGAAGGGGCCTTTGAGCTCCCTGCCATCCTGCTTGCCACTTAGGAGAGGCTGCCAGAACTAGAGGCAGACGGCAGGTAGGGAGTGTCAAACAGGACTGCCAACATTTCAGAGCTGTATATCCATTTGTGCTCCCAAGATTATTTGTGTTTTTGTTTTTTTCTCAGAAGCACATCAAATGTTGACTTACACTGAGAGGGAAAGAAATGAAGTTAATATTTATTGAGTAGCTACTAATTGCCATGCACTATGCTAGGCCCCCTGTATGCATTCGCTAAATTAAAGCACCCCCAAATTTTTAGATAGCTAATAAATTCCAGAGTTGGGATTGAGCATTGTGTCAATTAGAATTCCTAAATCTGTGTTTTACAACCACTGAATTACATATACCATACCTCTCATTGTGTTTCTAATCTCTGGGATTCAAAAAATTACACCTTACTTGATCTCTCAATTTTCTAACAAGTGTTTTTGAACCCTTATTTTGTCTCCTCAGTTTAACCGTTCCTCCGAGCATCACCACCTATAAATTTGTTTAGTTCACTTGTTTTTTTTCTCCTGTGCCTTCATAATAAACAAAATAGCATGAGCCACTGGCAGGCCACTAGAACCACTTCTAGATCGACACAGATCCATTAATCAGTACTCTTAGTCAGAACATTGAATTCTGTACTTTTAGTCCTCTCAGGCTGCCATAACAAAGTACCATAGGTTGAGTGGCTTAAACAACAGCAATTTATTTTCTCCCAGTTCCGGAGGGTGGGAAGTCCATGATCAAAGTACTGGCCAGTTTGGCTCCTGGTGAGGGCTCTTTTCCTGGTTTGTAGACGGCACCTTCTCATTTTTTCCTCATATGGCAGAGAGAGAGCAAGCTCTGGAGTCTCCTCCAGGCTTCGGGTAGGGCCTCACCCTCATGACCTCGTCTAATCCCCAGTTACCTCCCAGAGGCCCCATCTCCAAATACCATCACAACAAATTTTGGGGGGACACATAAATGTTAGGGGGATATAAACATTCAGTTCATAACAGCACTAACCCACCTTTGTTGTCCTTCCATTACTCTACTTCCCTGATAGCATGAAAGACCCTGTCACCTGCTTTGCTGAAGTCCCTATTGGCTGCCTGTATTCATCACTTGCATTATGAAAAATGGTGGCCGCTACCATCTACCACTCTTTTCCTTTAGTGCTCAAAACTTTCCCTTTAATAACTGATGTTAGAATTTTGCCCTGATCCTATACCAAACATATTAAGGCAGAGTTTGCAAAAGTTCACCTTCTACTTTATAAAGATTATTTGTATTTGGCCCTTTCTCAGACATACAGGACTACTTGATATTACTGACATTGTTCAACAGCATAGAGCATCAACACCCTAAAATAGAATTCACCCAATATAAGAGTCTTGAACTCAGCTAAGTATACCTTTGAGTAACTACTCATCTAGGGCTTTGGATCTTTTCATTCTGCTTAGTCTGCAGCTCATTCTCCCTGTCAAAGAAAACACTAGTATAATGGAGGTTGGCATATACCACTTTTTGTCACCATCGCCTGCTGTGGCATCCTCAGCTTCAAACAACAGCATGTCCATTCTTTAAGCATTTTTTTGCCCCATACATAGCTATGTTTTCTGACCTTGCTTCCAAATTCCCTAATTTTCAATTGCCTTTTGGATTTTGTAGTCCACACGCCCCCAAACCACCCATGTAAGTTTGAATATAACCAACTCATTGCCTGCCCCAGGCCAAGTCTTCCTCATTTCCATGAACAAAACCGTCATTCTGAGAAAGTCAGGCTCCAGCTTGTAGTCTTCCTGCCTTTCCTTTTCTGGGTCCATTAGTATTCAGAAAGTACATTCTGGGACTTGTGACAGAAATCTTACCACTCTCAGCTTAAACAATAAAGGGTTGTTTTTCTCACCTAACAAGAAGTTGGGTGGTGGGCAAGCCAGGGTGTTGCAAATTGTAAAAGGAACCAGATGACTTTGGTCTTCCTGTTCCACCACCCTTGGCAGGTGGCTTTCATTCCTATGGCCACAAAATGGCTGTGGCCCCTTGGGGTTGCATCTGCATTCTAGACGGGAGAAGTATGAGAGATGCTGGCCGACTTAATCTTCTCCAGTAGACTTACACTGACAACTCCTTGGCTAGATCGTGTCACATGGCTACATACAGCTGCAAGGGAGGCTGAGATTTCAGATACTTTAACTGGGCTTATTGCCGTACTAAACAAAATCTGTTAGTAAGGAAGAAGGGGAGAATGGCTATTGAGTGGGCACCTAGCACAGTCTGCTCCTCTCCTATGACCTCTGTTTAATAGATGTCCAGGCCTTTTATTCCTTGTTTATAGCAAATGTATTCTTTCCTGAGCATTCCAGCCACTAAGAATCTGTTGTCCTTGTGACTGTACGCCACTATAACTGCAGAGGCTTTCTATATGAAGAGCCTGATCTTTCTAAAACGCTGCCTTTATGTCATCACCGTTTAGCCAGAAACATGCTGTGTTCCCATTGCCCACAGGACAGCTGCAGCTCCTTAGGCAGATGCTGAAGGCCCTTTATGCTCTAGCATCGGTTTGTATTTGTAACCCTGTCCTCTACTACTTTCAGCACAAACCATCTGCTTTGATAAATTCAGTCTACCCTTTCTTCCTGGAACAAACTACCGCACTTTCCTATTAAAAAGCCATTATATAGTTCCTCTTCCACACTCTAGAATAATAATAATAAAAATACCAGATAACCATTAGTAACTCTTATTATGTGATAGGCCCTTATCCTAAGGACTTTCAATGTATTTTACTATTAAAGTCAGAAACAGTCAGATACATACTGTATATCCCCATTTAAGGAGGTGGAAACAGGGCTTTGAGAAGTTAACTCACTTGCCCAGAGACAAAGGCACACATGACATTTTTCCAAATTACACACCAGTGAAGAATCAGTTCTGACTCTAAGCATTGAAGTCTCCCAACAACTGAAGTTCATAGAGATCTCTCCTCCCTCTGAACTCCTAGTATATTTTTAGCATGTGCTACCTATTTTTATTAAAATTTTTGTATGTGTATATATTTATACAGACTTTAGAAAGGTCAGGCTCTTCAGATAGGAAATTTGTATATATATAAATTATATATATTTATATATTATTTCCTTAACTATATAGAAGGCTCCTGGAGAATGGGGACTTATTAGCAAATATAGTAACTGTGCATAAAAGCCGTTTAGCAAATGATTGAAGATGATGATGATCAACTTTCCACCACAGAAGCCAAATGGCACCCTGGGTCATAAAAATGCTAGAAGGCGTTGGGGCCAGACCGTGTTCAAGTCTAGAGACAGCTGGCAGGAGCTTGAGGATGGTGATTTCGGAGCCTCCCATTCCAAGAAGGCAAGCATGGGTGTTTTCAAAGAAAAGAGGAGAAAGGATTCTCCATTTCGGTAAGATTTCAAGTTCCTTAGGAAAATATATTTTTATACTGCATCAACTTTATTTTACTCCTTAAATATAAATGAATTCAGATATTAAATGACAGTAAGCAGCTAAATGTTTTTTCCCACAAAATCCAAATCTCCATGCAAAGCTCTGAGAAGGGCAGAATCCTGACTTCTCATAGTAAGGGCTCTTAGTATGAGTGGTTGAGTGTGTTGTGTGTGTGCGGAGGGAGGGGTCCTTGTTAAATTTGTAGTGTGCCCTATTGAATCACGATCACCATTATTCCCATTTGAAACTCACATGCCTATTGCAGAAAGCAGAGCCCATTCCACACAGGTGACGGTTTCCTTGAATGAGGCTCAGATTGCCACTCGTTTGCTCGCTATTGTAGACTCGTTGATCATTTGCTAAGCCTTTTCTGTCAGTGTAGTATCTCTAGCAGTCTCTCTTCTTTTTATAAGTTAACTCATCATCTGTGCATTATTCGACTTCTGAGTGAGGGTGGGGTAAATTTTGGTGAACTTTTTGGAAAAATATTTTCATTTTTTTCCTCTTTGGAATAAACAAGGACTAGGGAAAAAAGATGTGGCAGGAGTCAGGGAAATATCTCTAATGGCTGTCTGGCATTGTCTAGTGCAGAAGTCTCCACTTAGGGGTACACAGGTATGTGTAACCTTTCTCTGAAGGTTACTTCAAATCCAGAATACCTTACTTCATTCCTCTGAAGGTATGTGACTCTCTGAGGGGTGCATATGCTTGGCTAATTCTTAGTCAGTCAGTTACCAGATTCTCAATTTCTACATGTACTCTCTCCTGAAATACATGAACTTGAGACTAAACCTGCTTATACCCCTCCTGCTTTATGCCATAAAGTCACACCTCTCAGCCACTTCAAATTTTGCAGAAAAGTGTAACAACATTTGAGGTGCTAAACAAAGGGAGAAATCAGAAGTCTGTGACCTTCAACTCAAAAGGCTTTTAAATTGTTCCTTTTCCTATTCTTGTTTCCCTTAAGGGGAGAGCCCTGCATTAGAGACTGGGTATTTTAGCCTGTGTTGGAAAGGAAGGAGATTCAGAGCCTCTAAAAAGCACCAGAGCCTAGTAATGCTTATCCTTTTAAATGTTCTAGAATATTCTGTGAAAGCATCTGATTTTTCAAAGCCTATGGACCTAAATTGTATGTAATTTTCTGAAGATTCAGAGTGTTTTCTGAATTGAGGTAGTTAAAATTTATTTTCTCAAGCCATACCATGAAATATTCTAATTACAGTCAATCCTCATAGTATTCCATCTTACAAAATACTTACTGTTTTCTATTTACAAGAAACAAGAAATGAAATTATTTATAATGAAAAATTACAGGTCAACATGAAGACTTGCAGGGAGCTATAATTTTTTGTTTGTTTTGTTTTGTTTTTTACTAATTCATTGTGTCCAGGAACAAAAGAGTTTGAACATTATTGGTGTAGAATGTAGATGACTTGGATATTTTTTTAAAAACTCATGTCATTCCAAGTAGTGATTCTATAACATCTTACTACGCTGATGGACAGTGACTGTAATGGAGTTTGAGGGGAGGACTTGGTGTAGGAGGGACCCTAGTAAACATAATGTTCTTCATGTAATTGTAGATTAATGATAACAACAACAACAACAAAAACTCATATCATTCTAATTCCTGCTAATCTTTATCATATGTTTTTACGGGTGGAGGAGGTTTGAATCAAAACCTATAGTTAGGATCAAGTTTGTAGTTAACATACTTGATTCTGACTACGGAACAATTGGTAAATTTCTTCAGCATCAGTTATTCCTTTTTCTCTTGAAATTCTTTAGAAAAAGAAAAACTGTATGACAGGAATTTTTAATGTAGGTATCTCTCCAGTTTTTACTTTTTGGTATCTTTAAGTAGCCTTACATAACTTAGTTATATGATAATAATAATTATTATTAATATACTACCAGGTAGTAAGTACCTACCTAAATTTTATTTATAATCTTATGCTTCATTAGAAAGATCTGTAGAATAGAACACTGAGAAAAATTAAATAAATAAGTCATAATAGACCCAAGGTTAGATGAAGCTTACTTCAAATCCAGATCTTTCTCTTGTGCACCTCACTAACTCTTAAGCAATACTTGGTGAACTGAATGGACTATGCCATTCTCTGTTCACTTTCTTAGGCAGCCTGGGCTTCCCCATAAAGAATACAAAGTACCAAATGCTAAGGTGTCAAACTTTTACTTTACAGCTATCTTTTTTTAAGTGAACAAAAGCAAGATATTTATACTTACAGTTACATTTATATTTGTATTCATACTTGGTATGACATTTACTGAATACCTAGTTGGTATCAAGCAAAGGTAAGAACATGATAGTCTGCCTTCAACCCATCAAATGTACAGCAGCAGAAATAAGACCTTCTGGTAACTATAACCCAAGACTATGTGTATCAAGTGCTCCTGATGAAGGAGCTAAGAGTTCTGTTTGTGGGCAGCCCACTTTGAAGATGAGACGAAGGTCTTTTTAGAGTGGGCAGTTTGAAAATGGGCAGAATTTCAGCAATTGGTGTAACTACAATGGGCTCATGAGGGTTGGGGAAAGAAGCCAGAAATGGGTGGAGCTGTTTCTAATGAAGGGGCCTAGCTGTGCCTAAGGCCACTCCAAAGTGGGTTGTGATAGTCAGTGGTTCAAAGGGCCCACAGGTCAGTGTCCGTTTCCAAGGGGGTCCCTAACATACTTCCCGATTGTAGATTGCTTTAATAGCCAGGTGACAATGGCTTCGATTGGCTTCCCTCTCAACGCACTGTTCCCACATTATAAATCCACAGCCGCAGCAGATGCAGAAAAGACAGAAACATACACAGATTTGCTGCTTGGTTACACAGCTTTTTGTCACATAATGACTAGACTTAGAATGATTCTCTGCACTGTCTATTATCAGCTGGAGAGATAAGTTGTCATCTAGCTCCTGTCAGCAGGAGGAGTCTGATGGAAACCATGTAATTGAGGTCACCGTGACTGGGTTGGGAAGTGCAGAGGGTGGGTGAGAAAATAGTGGCCATCCTCTCCTTCTTCATGCGGTAATGCTGCCTTATGTTGACTTTGAAGACTTCCAGAGTCCATACCCTCAGGCTCCAGCCACTCACCAGGGGAAAATAAGAGTTTACCAGCTGCCGGTTCCCTAAAATCTGATTCTGAATTGTCAACTGCTTCAACAGCTAAACAGTACTACTTGAAACAATCAAGATACCTTCCAGGTAAGTAGAGAAAATAAAATGTTTACTGCTCACTAGAAGATAGACAGGTCAGGCTCAAGGGTCTAGGAATCTTGGCAGAAAGGGCAGCAGTGAAATAAAAAGCATAATCATAGTTCTGGGTGGGTGTTGGCTCAACTTCATCAGTACTTGTCACCAAGTACTTTTCTGGACCTCCTGCCTCTGTGAAATCTCCTCAAAAAATGCCAAGCAACCAAAAATCAAGATGAAGAATGTGCTTCAAAGTACCGCCATTCTCCCCTGCCAAAGCCATGCCTCTAGTAATGCTAAGTTTCATTAAAACAAGTCTGCACCCCCCACTACAACTTTTCATAAAATATAGAACATTATACTGTTTTCTACATGATCTGATTTATATTTTGGAAAGATCATTCTGGCTTCTGGATAGAGCATGCTGGGGGCTCAAGAGGGGCAAGGAGACTGGTCAAGAGGAGGGTAATGGCTTGTTCCAAAGTGATAGAAACAGAGATAGGAATGGATAAAATCTAGATGTGTTTCAGTAGTGGAACTGATAGGACTTGTTGGTAGATGAGCATGGGTGATAGTGAAGAATGTAAAGAATTAGTGTTGGCTTCTGGATTTTTAACTTGCAAACTGGGTGGTTCGGGGAAGATGAGGAGAGGACAGGAGTGTGGACGTACAGAATCAGGTGTTGAGAGTTGGCTGCCTATTAAGCATCAGAGCTGATCTATCTAAGAGACAACTGGATATATGAATCCAGAGCTTAGGAGAAAGATCCAGAGCAATGGAGGGGAATTTATGTTGTACCTGCATGCAACATTTTCTCCCTAAAATCTTCTTTAGAAAGAAAAGTTTAAAATGTAATTTAGCCTAACAGGGAGTCCATACAGATGTGTCTTTAGTCCGACAAGAGGAGATGACCTTTCTCTGTTGTGGGTCGGTGAGCACGGTCATTCACAGCGCTATGAACGTAGTAAGCAGGCCACTGGGTTTATCTGAGGAAGATTTGTTTTCACAGCTCAGTTTCCAAAAGTAAACCATCATCTTCCTTTCCCAGAAGGAGGAGTAAGGAAGACAGAGAAAAGGTTGAGACTAGATTGTTAGCAAGAGACTGATGCAAAACATGTTTTCCTGTATAGGCAACCATGTAAATTTCAGTTCTGGAATCCAAAAGGGATGTACTCCTGTAGTCAGTAATTGAGAAGAGAGAAAAATGAAACAGGAAAGGGTTTGGAAATGAATGGGATAGAAAACAGAAGGCATGGTGGGTGTGTAGGTTTAGGCACAGGTGTTAAATCAGTTGAAATACACTTATGGATAATGAATAAATCAAGGCTGTCGACTGCATGTCGACTGCACTTCTCTGCTGATTGGTATGGAGGAAGATAGTGTCCTATCTAAGAGATGTTGAGGAGACTGACACGAAGCTATCAAGGGCAGAGTGAAAACTCTGGGGTATTTGGAGATTTAGGTGGGTTAAATGTTTATTTTTCTTAAGCCTTTATAGTGTTGGACAAGACAGACATTGTCCCTGCTCTCCAGGACCTATGGTCAAGCGGAGAGGAAACGTGCAGGTGGTGGTCAGTCCTGTTGTGAAAGCAGGGAGATGAACTAGAATATGACTGCAGGCAGGGGTGCACCTTGATTACCAGCTCCTTGAGCTGATACCAGAAAGATGAGAAAGCAGCAGTCATATGGAGAGCCAGAAAAATCTGTTTCAGGCAGAGGTGGGAAAGACAATTGACTTATTTGAGAAATCAAAGGAAAGGCTGCACGTGGGGAGTTGAACGGGCTTGGGGGGCAGTGGTGAGGTGGGGGAAGCCCGCAGTGTTCAGTTGATAGAGCACCTGGAGGGCAGGGGCAAGAACTGGGTCTATTCCTGGGCCAGCGAGGCCACCAGAGGACTTCAGGAGGTGGGTGACCTGAGACTTGAGTGTTAGGGACTCTGAGTGAATGGATTGCCTGAGGGCAAAGCTAGAAGCACGGAGGAGGGTAATGATTTAGACGGGGGTGGGCTCTTGATATATTCTAGAAATGGACTTGCTGATAGATGTGGGTAGAAAACAAAGCAAAAGTAAATTTGGGGCTTCAGTCCTGGGTGGATGGTGGTGCCTGCTGGGGCTAGGCAAGGCTTAGGAGGAACGGGCTGGGTGGGGAAGAGGCGGGCATTCCTGTGTTGGCTTTCACATTTGGGGTGCTTGTGAAACATCCCAGTCGTGGAGAAGCCAAGCAGGCAGGCAGACGGCAGAGACAGGAACGTGAGAAGGCATGTGGGCCCAAGACAGCAGGTGAGGGAGTCCCCGGCGACCCCCAGACAGTCCGCAAGTGCATGGACCGGCCAGGACCACCTGGAGAGAGACGGTGAGCAGGAAGGCTGGCGGCAGCAGAGGGGGGCTGCTAAGAGGCGAACGGAGGCAAGCGGGCGGCTAAGGGGAGGTTTCCAGAGGCTGCGGAGGGACAGTTTACCTGAAAGATCCGTCCGCTGCTGAGCTGTTGGCCAAAGAAGGGGTAGAAATGTCTGATTAAATTTGACAGTGGAGCCCTCCCTGGTGACCGATGAGCACTTTCAGCCTGGAATGGTGAGAGAAACTGAGGTGGAGTGGGATAAAAAGTGATGAGAGGTGAGAAATTAGTGACTGAACATGTATGTAGACAACTCTTCGGCGCTGTGGCGCTGGGACGAGGAGCGTAGAAATGGACCGTACCGGGGCGGGGCTCGGGCCTTCCGCAGGGGCGACGAGACGGTGCCTGCGTGCGCGTGGGGATGCCTGCTTGCAGAGGGAGGGACTGTTCCTGCGGGACAGGAGGGGAAGGCGTGACGCTCTCAAGTCCGTAGGAAGGTGGGAAGAGTCGGAACTGAGACCATGCGAGATGGGGTGCAAAGATACTGTGTGGTCATCTCTTTAAGGATGCCAACAGGTTTATAAATTTTGGCGTTGGAACCATGAAGGGGTTCCGATCTGACTGCAGAAGCTGGGGAAGAGGGCACTTCTGTCTGTTCACAAAAGAAAAATTAAGTACATATCTGACCTTCAGAAGTGAGTCCTCCGGTGGTGGGAAAGGTGACTAAATTTCTGTCAGGATAAATAGATCCAAAGCACCCATTTTCATAGTCCTGCTCCCTAATGTGCTTTACAGGAACATATTTCAGGGTATTTGAAATCCATGTGATCATTCCTTTTTTAACCAGAAAGATCTATCAAGTCTGCAAGTTACTTTGGGCCAGAAGCGTGGCTGTAATTGAGTCTTAAGAAAGACACTCAAAATTAGAAAGAATTGTTCTTGAGCCTTACTGTTACCCTATTGGCATTTTTTGTCTTGAAGATGACCCCTCTAGAGCTGGGTGAGATTTGAAACCAGAATTCAGCTCAGTTCAGCCACTCAACATTTATTGAGCATCTAAGGTGAGCCAGTGACTGCAGGTGACCCAAACTCACATAACTGGTCTTCGACATTTGTGAGCCAAAGTTCTTTCATAATTGAGTACCTTCAGGAATATCTTTGGGTACCCTCTTTTTTTACCATTAAGCCAAGTGTAAAAGGTCTTAAGTGTTGACCTTGAGGATCATGGGAGCTCTAGAAATGTACCATATAATTTCAGGACAGCATGACATTATACTACAAGGACTGGCAGATCTCTGACACTGGCCTTCAGGGAGAGAGACGCAGGAGTCATAGTTATTGACCGGCTACTGATGAGCTGTGTATTGGAGCAAGACTCGGAGATTCTGTTTTCTGTTATTTACAATGGGACTGCAGTCGCCTTTCAGCTCACCTTCTAAGCCCTAGGTACTTGTGTGGCAAGGTGGTCACCCTGGAAATTCTAACAGTCCCTTAGCGGTGCCCTCCTGTACTGAGAACCAGGGCTCTCTGGCATGAACCCATGCCAGCATACCACTGTGCCGGCAGGAGCAGCTCACTCCACAGCACCTCCGAAACCCTGCTCTGTGGACACTCCTCGGGCCCCATTTATCAGTGTGTCCTTCCTTCCACCCTGTGTGTTCAGTGTTCTGTGTCAGTTCCACACCTGCCTCTCCTACTGCATTTTATACTTGACCTACAAACCCCTAGGTGACATGACCCCCACTCTCATCTCCAGCCTCATTTTATGCCACTTTCTGTTCTTGCTCCACCCGTGCTATTTCTTGAGTTCTTTCCCATCCCCCCACACTGTTGAGTTCCTAATCATGATTCCCATTTCACCTTAAAATTACATTTTTTAAACAAAGTGTGGCTCACCTTAAAATTACATTTGTTAAAGATTGGGTTAGTTGCTGCTATTACCAGCACCAGATTCTTCTAAACAATTTGCACACTGCTAATTACTTACCTAATTATTTATGACTATTAATGTCTCCTTTTGCATTAGAGTAGAGCCAAAACAGTAGAAACTGGTCTATTTTGTTGACCACTTTTTCCCCAATGCCACACACACTAACTGGCATGTGGTAGGTGCTCAGTAAATATTTGCTACCTGACTTTAGAATTTCTTTTGAGGCAAGGGATGATAGTATGTTAATTTCTACTTCTAACAGTGCTTGCTTTATAGAAGATACCCAATAAAAGCTTATAAGCTGCTATGTAGGTGATATGAAATTCTAGATTGTGTGTTTCCAAGAAAATTAGAATAAAAAAAAATACAGAATTAAAGCAATTATCTTCAATAGTGTATATATTTACTTAAACTGTTTAGAGATGTCGCAAGGTTAACTAGACTAACAAAATAATTTATTCATAGTTCTTTGTTGAACTGTATTTATGAAAACTGTTCACTTCAATAGATTTTCAGTTTTTCCCCTACCTTGCATTTACTTTTTGGATAAGAATTTTATTTGTAAAGATGTTTTTAATATGAGTAATTGCTACCTAGTAAATGTTATTTATTGTCAGGTAATTGCCTGTTATAGCTCTATGTGTAGGTGTTTTATTAAACTCAAAATCCAAAGGAGCTAAATTCTGTAAGAAAGGGGAATTATTTACCTGATGGAATGTTTCCTCACAGAATGATGAAAGGTCAACTGAAGCTTGGTATAAAACAGCCAGGCTTATTTCAGGCTTCAAAACAAGGATTATTACGTGCCTCCTAAATGTGAAACCTTGCTAAGGAGTTCACACTGTGAAAGGCACAAGCTCATACTGTCTGGAAACAGTTGCTAATTTCCTACATGAACGGTAGTCCCCAGTGAGGATTTTTCCTATCCCACTGTTTGTTTGACCCAGAACCTTGACAACTGTGTGATGTCTCTAGCATCTCATAAGGTGAATCTAATTTGATGATCAGTAAAAAGAAAGCAAGTTCAAGAGGTTTTCAAATCCCTTAAAAATAAGTTAACACTAGTGCCAAAATCCAAGGCTGACTCCACATTTCATAGATTCAGAAAATCTAGATAATTTAACCATTTAGATTTTACTAATATCCAAGTAAGTTTCACATCTGCTTCCAAACTTCTCAGGTGCCTCCGAGTTCTTGGTCACATGTCTGTCATCCCAGCTACACTGAGTATTCCTCAGAGGTCTGGCACAGAGAACCTGCTCCAAACAAGTGAATGATATGGAAATATCTTTTTGAAGAAAATAATTGTACCCCCCTCAATTTTTATAAGCCATTTAGCAATGTCCAATATTTAATTATTATTTGTATTTTATATGGTTATAAAATACACTGTGAGGATTCCAGGTTATTGTGCTTAGGTCATGTTAGGGTTCCTCAACAAGCAAGCATTTGCTACCCTGTAACCTCAGTTTGTTTCCATTCTCTTCTTCATTTGATGTTGCACATTTTTCCTTCCTGTTTATGATGACACTCCAATGTTTGAAATGACTGCTCTGTTCTTCTCAGGTGTAAATCCCAAGAACGTGTCCTTGGTAACCAGTGGAAAGGATATAAACCCATACATTTGGAATAATCAGTTGTTTCCAAAGTCATTGGGACGCACTGGGGCAGAACTTGCTTTCAAAAGGAGTAATGCAGGTAAAGCAAGAATACATTTAAAGTATAAGTTTACATTGTTTTCCTTCTGCGGATTTTTACTTTAAATATATTGCAGCTGCCTTCATCCAGTCACGATGACCCTGGGGGTACACAAAGGTCTTCCAGCTGGCACTTGTCACAGACAGTTTCAGGGGAATCATCTGCTGCATCTCAGCTTCCATTTGGATTCTTTCCTCAAATGGACCTGTCTGAGCAAAGTGTCTCTGTGCTCCTACTTTACAAAAGAAGGGAGACTTCTCACTGTTTACTATGGTGTGTTTCCTATTTCCCCAAAGTGTAAAAAATATGTGGGGTGCCAATCAAAGTGATAATTTGATACGTTGGAGTCAATGTTGAGAAACTGAGTAACTGTGCTGACTGGGGAATAAAGCCTTTTTAAGTCAAGTGGTTCCCAGTTCTTAACTTTCAAAAAACTGAAGGACCTAATAATTATGAGCTAGCAGACAACTAAAAATCACTTTTATGAGCTCTCTCTATGATTTCTGGTCTATAACTCTAGAGTTCAAAGACTACACAGTGCAAAGTTGTAACAAAACACCTTTTATTCTCAACTGCTTGCTTATATTAGCAAGGTTTCTTAGTACTTCCATCTCCAGAAAAAAAGGAATGAAGGTGGTGCTATACCCTGATTTTAGCAATACTTAATATTCACTTGTGGATCCATGGACTACTTGACAATTTCCCATCTTTCTCATTGAGATGAATTTCCAAAATAAATGACTTTTCATATTTAGTAATCAAATTTTATAATATTCATCTTTTTTATTACATACTGTAATTACATCTAAATCAAAAAATATTTTAATTTTTTGAATTTGAATTTTTAAAAATTTCCAAGAAATTTTTTTAAGGTTTCAATTTAAATATATATATAATTTTTTTAAGTGGTCAGTTTAAAGACTTTTAAGCCTAAAATTATATTTGGACAAAATTTGGGAGTTGACATTAGGAATGAAAATAAGGTTTTAGAGAGAAAGGGGTTTATGTGAAATTTCCAACTGTTAAAAAAGAATGTGTTCATATATTTCTTAAGTCAATTATTTGTGGGTATAAAGCAATTATATTTGGACAAAATTTGGGAGTTGACATTAGGAATGAAAATAAGGTTTTAGAGAGAAAGGGGTTTATGTGAAATTTCCAACTGTTAAAAAAGAATGTGTTCATATATTTCTTAAGTCAATTATTTGTGGGTATAAAGCCACTATGGCATTTAGATTCCATTGCTTATATGTAAAGGAAAGCTGCATAGTTTTGTTTTGAAATATCTATAATTACAATATACCAGAAATGACAGCTTCTGGAGCTGTAACACATGATGGAACAATTTTATATATCAGCTTAAAGTGTGTGAAAGGGTGAGGAGTTCTTTTCAAAAAAATTAGGTGATATTGGACGCAAAAATGTCCCAGGCTCACAGCTCCCGCAGCTGCTCGGTAGACTGAGGGATGCTGATATGACATGAATGAACGTTGGACGTTTAAACTTTCCAGATGCTTTGAAGACTCAGTTTACCATTTCACAGTGCTGAGCTGTCAGACAAAGGCAGTGCTGCGATTTACTTTTTATTCTGTAATTTAAAAATAATATTCATTGAACCAACTGGTTAAGTACAAATCAGTTTAAATGACAGCACATCTTTGAGTCTCAAGGGAATATATGATTGGCATCAAATGAAAGCTAGAACAGCACATGAGAACATTTTCTCATTTTAAAGATTCTTTCTGCATCTTTTCATTAATAATCTAATCCACTTTTTCTCTGCTTTTCCAAAAACATTTCCCTTATTATTCATTCTTTCCATCTGCCTTCTCTTCAGAAGAAAGCATAAGTAAACCAACTGAACAGCTATCACGCAATGAAAGTTTTCCTGAAAATTTAGAGAAAATCACCCACAGGGTGATTTCTGGGCACTGTAGATGAACACAACTTGTTCTTTAGTTCTCTTGTCCAATTTTTTTCTCAACTTTTGCGTTAATATGTCAAAAAAGGCCACTAATGAGGCCAAGGTCATCTGCTTTCAGAAGTCAGACGAGGACAGGAGAAAGGGCAGCATTCCACATCCTCAAGAACATCTTCCTTCAGTAGTTGGGATTCTAAGACTAAGTTGCTCTCAAAAAGTGCTGTGCTTGTCTTCTTAAATTATGAAAATTTATAGAAATCAAGCAAATCTACCAAAATGAATTTTTAAAAATAGTTTCTACTTTTGTAATCAGCATTTCGGGAAATTTTTTTTCAAAGTTCTGGAACTCGTTTCTTAAGCATGAACAACTATTTAAGATAACCAGGTTAATAGAGATGGTGGATTTTCTAGAGGTTCACTGTTGCTGGTTTACAGTGCTAACCATTGGTTGCAACCTAAACATTTGCAGTTCAAAGGAACTCCATATCATAAATGAAAATAATTTAAGAAGACTTAATTTCCTACACATTTTTTCCCTAGCAACTTCTCCCTCCCATAAGCAGCAGCACCCTATAAGCTGCAGTGCATGGCTTTGAAGTCTGATGTATTCCCATCTGTCAATCACTAGCTTTGTCATTGTGGACAAGTTAATTAGGTACTTTCCCCACCTGTAATATGGAGGAAAGAATATTCGTCTAGGCATTATTATAGTCATACCTAGGATTTTTGTCACACTGTAAGCATTGAAGAAGTGTTTGCTTTGATGATGAGAGCAAGAGATAGATTAGCTGCTCTTGAATGTGAACACAGCCTTAAACGTCCTTTCAGGAAGGCTTCTGAAGTGCAGGGCTGATTGTGATTTACAGTGAGTTCTCCAGGTGAAGAGAAAGGGCAAATCGGGCAGTTGTGCTTATGCACAATTCAGGAGTGTTAGAAACTATATAAACTGCATAAACTGAGAACAGGTTTACTGGGTAGAATCCTTCAGGGTCTGAGAAGTAGTGTTGCTGTTTGACATTTGTCGGTTCAAGAGCAAACACTTACTGAGAGCCTCCTTTCTCACAGCGCATGGCCCTGTGACAGACATCAGGGACACAGAAGCTCTGAGTCCAGCCTTGCGAATAAGTAACACTGTGTAAAACATGCTTCAGTCACAGCTGCCAAACCACCAGTTCTTTGAAATCATCAAGGCAATCAGGGCCCTGTTTTGCCTTCTCACTGACAAATTTTGTCTCCTCTCCTGCATAGATAGCTAGGCTCCTTGAAAGAGACCTTACATTGGTTTTTTCCTCTTATTTCCAGTTTGCTCCTCAGCTCACTGTACATTGTCCTCAGCTCGCCTAAGGCCACTACCATAGCTCCTGCTGGGTCCTGGCATTATCCTGGTGGCCAGGGTCAGCGGGTGGTGCTAGTCTCACCAGATCTCTCTGCCTCGCTGGCTTGCCTGCTTTCTTCACATGTTGCATTCTCTTGATCCTTCACACCTTGCTCTTCCTACTGTCTCCCTCTAGCCTCTCTCCTCCATGGGGCCCTTTTCTTTCTGCTTCCTTAGTGCTGCTGTTCCCCGGGGTCCCATTCTGGGTTTTTGCTCATCCCACAGTCCCTCTGAGTTGGGTCTTCCAAGGCCATCGGTCCAGAACCACCATGCCCTGAAACTTCCAGACCTCTAGGTCTCCTCCACCTCTGAGATCCCTCCATCTCGAATATCCCACAGGCACCATATCTTCCCACCAAACCTGATTCTCCTCTGTTGCTGTTCTTAATCAGCTAAGCTACAAACTTAGGGGTGTATAACCTCTCTCTTTCTGCCCCTCCCACTCCACACACCCACTCAGTTCCCTCTGCCATCCCCTCTGCAGCCACCTTAGTTCAGACCCTCATGCGCTCTTATTTCCCCTACAGTTGGGGCCTCCTGCCTTTAGATTTTCCCCCTCCAGCCCCAGACTGATCCTTCACTACTAGTGATGTGGGTGATGACAGCTGACACTTCTCTCGAACACTGGGTCATGCTCAGTGCCCTGCGTACACTCATTCAGTCCCTACACCAACGCTATGAGAACAGGCACACTTTTTATAATGATTTTACAAAATGAGGAAAACCATGAGAGCACCGCAGGGATGGGGGCCCCTGGCAGGAATGACACTGTCATAAAAGAATCTAGTATGTTCAGGGTGAACTTAGCCTTGGCTTCAGTCACATTCTAGCTCTGTCGCTTACCGACTGTGAGCCACATAAGTAATGAATAATAATAGGCATTTAAGAAGGTTGTTATATGGATGGAATAGGAATATTTGTAAAACTGTAGTGGATGTCTGAAATATAGTAGGTGCTCAGAAAAACAGAACCTAGAATCAGTAGGGTAGTGTTCCGAGTTACTCTCTGGTGCATTAAAGTACTCACTTTCTGACTGTGGAACTTTATGATACATCACTAGGCAATCTTGGAAGTTACGCTACTTACAATCAGTCAGGATATATTCCTTCCTTTCTCAAAAAAGAAGTGGGGTCAGCTGACCAGAGGATACACTTAGCACCTCTTGGTGCAATGGCTTCAGGTAAGAACAACTTTAGATGTAGTTTTTGAGATTTCTGATTAGAAAGGAACTTTCTCTAAGTTTTGTCACTTCCCTGAGTAAAGACTTTTAAATTAATTTCACCTTATAAATATAGTTCTGCTTTTGGCAAAATGTCCTTTTATTCCTGAAGATGTGGTTTGAGAGTCTAATAATTACAAGAGCTCCCCTAATTCAGTGGCCACACTCTGCCAGGCACACAGGATGTGCCATTTGATCTTCACAGGACTGGATGAGGTAGGTCGCAGCTAGTGAATGGTGGAGCTGGGAGAGAAACTCGGTTTGCCTAATTCCAGAGTATGCTGTTGCTACAGCATGAAATGTGAGAAGATGCATTTCTCAGAGCTTCCCTCCCACACCTGGCGGAGTGGAAACCTAATAAATGCCAAGACTCAGTTTACCCATCATTAACAGGGAGCTCCTCTGGTTCCACTGGACGGCACAGAACCACACTGTGGCAGAGCCTCACCCCTGGCGTTTGCTCCACAGTATGTTAGGTGGTGAAGGGTTACTCGGCCACCTCGCCCAGGTTATGGCTAATTAGGTCACCTGCTCTGCAGGGGCGTGGTGTAAGACAGCCACAGTCCCAACCAAAGTCGCTCTCAAAATTGAATTCTGTGCATGAGCTGACCAGCTTTGACTACGAACATTCTCTAAATTATTTTAATCTAAAATAGACATCCTTACTAAAGTACCTGAAATGAACATGAAGGCAGATAATTAGAAGTTTGATAGGATATCTAGCTATAGTTAACTTAAAAACTGACTCCAAAAGTATTCTTACAGGCTCTTCTAACCAGGATCTTAGATGAAAACTCCTGATTAGAGTTGCCAGTCTTTAAAACTTATGCTATTGGAGCTAAAATTGTAAGAAGCACTGGATTTCTATAAGCTTTCATTTCTTTCTTATTAAAATTTTTATTAATTTTTTATTGCTTAAACAGTACTCAGTTACCTCAGCTGAGAAAAGAACTGTTTCATTATCTCTCTGCCAGAACAAAATATGTAAGTAAATATTTTATATACAGCAATGGCCTTACTTACATGAGTCATCAGCCATGGCTTAGTAGCAATTTTTAATATAAAAGCAGAATATCACAATGTTTCAAATTATTTTATCTGAGTACCTGCTCCTAGAAAGTAGAAGTGGGTATTTTAAAAAACAGAAGATATTGAAGGCCTTTCTGTATTAAGTATTCTGCCAGATTAGCATGCATATTCCTGTTTTCATTTTTTTAACTAAATGCTTTCTGATAAGTTTTCATCTCTTCATTTACTCTGCTTATCAGATTTCCCTACAGATGGTGATAGGAGGAAAGGTAAAGAGAAGTAAACATTAATCATTCTCAAGTGGTCAGTGCAAATCCTTAGGAAAACACTGTTCTCTAAGAGATGTGTCTTCCAGTACCCCCACTTATGTGAGTTTTCCACAAGAAATAAAACCAGGTCATTACCGTATTTACTCACCTATTTCCTCGTCTCTCAGTCTCTCCCTCTGCTCCCTTTCCTCACCCTCAAGTTTCAAGAAGAAAAACTAAATTAATTTCCTTCCTCCCCACGTAATCTCTTCGCCCAGACTTCTAATACCTCCTTGTCCCCTGTCCTAGCTGATTGTAACAACAGAGACTTTGAGGAGTGGCTTTCACACACAGCTACCTTTAGAAGTGCAGGCCCTGTTCTAAAGTCATTCAACTCATTTAATCCTCCCAGTGGCCCTGTTACAGGAGGGACTAGCTAGTATGATCTCCATTTTAGAGGGGTATGGTATCTTGCTAAGAATTATATAGTGGCACTGATTAAATCTTTAAATAAAGGCAAACACCTTTCCTTTAGCAAACATTTCCTACAGGAGGTGAAATGCCCTTGAGGGGACACCTGTAGTTTTTAAATGCAGAGGGCTGCCAGCCCCTGGGGTGGAGAGGTGCAGTCCCTGTCTGGCCGAGACACAAGCCTTCCCTGCCCTCCCGCGATGTCAGCTCCTCTGTCAGCTACTGAGCTCTCCACCTCCGGTGCTTGAGTCCTAGAACTAGTATTTATCAGAAGGGACTCTAAATGACAACACTGTCGCCTTCTTGACACAATGATTCCCTCTTCAGAGGTTTTAAAAACATTTGCCTGGATGGTTTCCTTCAAATGCATTTAGGACTGGACTTTGGGACAGAAGCTTCTCTACTCCCACCCACCCTAAGACCATCCGCCATTGTGAGTTTAGGCCTGGGTTCCTTTTCCTCTCCTCCGAATCACAGGGCTCACAGCTCTTCTCCCCCACCTTTCCACCCCCATGCCCTCACTTGCTCTCTTCTCTGCCCCTGCTACCATTTCACCTGCAGGCTCCATAGCTTGCCTGTCTATATGCCAGTGGGTTAAAATGAAAGGGCTGCTCCTGGAAAATATGGTTAACGTTTTTCCTAATCCATTTGTCCTTAACTGTTCCTCAACAGTAAGAGTTAACTGGCCCTTCTAGACACTCTGTTCCTGCCTTTGATAGGTAGCTTTATACTGAGAATCTTAAACCCAGTAAGAGTGGGATGAAATGACCCGTCAAGCCATCAAGGGGGAGGCCTCTTGGCCTGTTGGCCCATCCCAACACAACAGTCAGGGTGACTGTCACCAGGCTTTGTTCCCTTTAAGCTGAGGTTAGTAAGCACCTCTGTGCCCCCAAGCTCCCATAATTTCCCCCTACAGAGAGAGTACAGGGAAAGACAGGGAACCATGAGAGTAAATAGGGTGTAGCCAGTGTTAGGTGTACAATGTCAGAATCATGTTAAAATTGACACTTAAGAATGGCAGCTACTGCAGTGCGTAAAGATACTTCAGTCCCAAATGGAAAGCTCAGACATCTCTCCTCAGGGAGAATACCTATGATACTTAGCTATAAACTGAGATAAAAAAAAAAAAAAAAGGAGGGCGTGAAGGAAGGGCTGAAAACATTAAAGTTCTCGTAAATTGATTTACTGCTTTGTCATCAGAGATGTTTAAGCAGTTTTAGCTTATAAATTGTTCAGATAAAAACAAATATTCAAATTAAAATTTTCACAAATATTTAATCAGCCAAATGTATGAATAAAACAAATCTTATGATTAAAGGTTTGGGATCTTAGGAATGGCTCTCCTTTTAAAAGGATTCTGTTATCACCCATCATTTTCCCAATAGAACATGGAGTTTCTTGACTTTAAAATCACATTTTCAAGTTTTTAAAAGAAATCTATCATGGGACCCCATCTGTGTAGTGCCATGAAGCCAGAACTTTACAGGATTCACAATTCCAAATACATTTTCTTAAGTGATACTGTATTTGAGTTATTACTTAGATATAACCACAATGTGATTTTTTAAAATTTATTATTTTTATTTTGTTATCATTTACAATTACATGAAGAACATTTTGTTTACTAGGCTCTCCCCTACCCCAAGTCCCCCCCACAAACCCCATTACAGTCACAGTCCATCAGCACACAATGTGATTTTACTACGTCAACAACACTGTGGAGTGTTGCCCATTGAACCTGAACCCAGAATTTTCTAGTTTTCTATCTAAATGTTATAGGCATTACAGTGAGCCCAAATAAAATACAGTGGCAGTTTCAGAACTATAAACCAGAAATATTGGCTCTTAGGCTAGAAAATTATAATTGGTGTCACTATAATGCACACTAGAATTTTTGGTTTTAGTATTATTTTTAAAAAAAACTTGAGACCACCGAACTGATTTTTTAAAAGATAAATTCAAAATTTCCTCATAAAATGAGAAGTCAATTTTTTTTTTGAATTTGATAATCAAATGAATGAAATTCTAATTTCTGAATTCTGTTTTCCTCCAGAATATACCTGGAACGCGAAAACTGGTCGGGGGCAGTTTTCAGGACCTGCTTACAATCCTACAACCAAGAATCTAAATATTGTGAACCGTGCGCAGCAAGTTCCCTCCGTGCACGGGAGGACAGACTGGGTGGCCAAGTATGGAGGCCACCGGTAGGTCGGATGTGAAACCCCACAGCATTGCTCGATAGCATCCTTGCAAGTCCCCTGACACTGGGAAATGTCTCCAGATGTTTATTTCTACTGAGTCCTGGAAGAAATTCGTGATAGTGGGTACTCTGAAAAGCAAAAATCATCTCCATTTTCTTTCTTTCCTAGAAATGAAATGCATTTTCTTAGCATTGCAGTCCACAGTGCTGATAGGTAGGACTTTAAAAAGTATTGAATAAAGTATTTGCCAAAGCATCAAGTATTTGATCTATAGTTACTAAGTACGGCTAGCAGCTTTTTAAAAAATGCCTCCAGAAAGTGTTTAGTGTTTTACTTTTCATTTGTTGTGTATTTGCTAAACTATTTCACCAACTGGCCTCCCAAGTTTGTTTTTTTATAGCAAGTGGGAAGGCCTCTGCGGGCTGTCAGTTACGCTTACTTGACTAACGCTCCACCCTATCAGTTTGGTAATGGCAGAAAGATGCAAATTTATCATCTGTTCTTTTATTTTGAAATTACAGAAGTAATGGTTAATTCCAACCTTGAGCAGGATATCTTTCTTAAAAATAAATTTATCTCTAGGATAAAGATTTTGAAATTATGCCTGATTTTAGTGAAGAATCTGTTATTTGATTTTGACCAATACAATTGCTCTGAATTCAGGGGACTGTCAAACCAATGGCTTGGATGACTCCCTAACCAGCCAAGTCAAGGTTCTCTCATCTTCATGTCCTTGAGTTCTTGAAACTGTTATGTGTGTTCATCACACTTTCAAAAGTCTCTGTTTCCGTGTTCCTCCCAGACACACAGTGTGCCAGCCGGTCCCCAAAGCAAACTCTTGCTGCTGCTGACCACTGACTCAGCTCTGACCTGCACAGTTGCACTGAAGAGCAAATGCATTCAGTTGCTAGCGCAGTGATTTCATGTTAGTGCATATGTATATTTTTGTTTTATTTCTAAACTAGTATTTAAAATAGATAGTTTGAACTTAGAGCTTTTCTATTTAAACCTGCCATTTTACGGACTGGACATTAGTACTGTATATTCTTGTTAAATAATAATAATGTTATCAACTGTTGATATCTTTATGTATTTTATGACTTTGTAACAAGTGCTAATATAATTGGTATCCTCTTGATATTATCCAAAGGCCCACTGATAATGATTATTTTTTTACAGAAAATTCAGCTCACCTTTTTGAAAAAACTTGAAGTCTATAAAGAGTTAATTTATGTTGGTGAATGGTTACATATATTTGTAAGGTTTTAATTAATATTACAAAAAAGTTATTTATTTTGTGTTGTTGGGGAACTTTTAAACTCTGAATAGATATTAAAATAAATATGGTAAATGTTTTCTTTACATTTTTATACTACATACTTATACTCTGAAGCCTATTTGTTGTTTGAATTATAGACTTTTTTTGTTTTTCTGGCAGTTTTATGTGTATGGAGAAACTCACTGGAAAGTACAGAGTTTCCATATACCCCCTCACCTCCCTCTACTCAATATTATGTATAATTAACATCTTCTATTAGTGTGGGACATTGTAAGTAATGAACCAGTATCGATACATGAACTGAAGTCAAGTTTAATTAGGGAGGGTCACTCTTTGTGCTGTATATTTTGTGGGTTTGGACAAAATGTATAATGACATGTACCCACCATTACAGTATCATACAGAATAGTTTTACAGCCCTAAAAATCCCATGCTCTACCCATTCAATTTTTTTCCCTCCTCCCAAACTTCTGGCAACCACTATCTTTTTATTGTCTCTTATTTCTCTTTTTCCAAAATGCCGTGTAAGTGGAATCATGTAGTATGTAAAGTCTACAGATTGGTTTTTCACTTAGCAATGTACGTTTTAGTTTCCTCCATTATTTTCTTGGCATATCACTTCTGGAGGCAGACGTTAAATAAACACACACACAATTGTATATTTACAAATTATGATCAGTACTATTAAGAAAAAGAGCAGGATGTATATATAGAGAGAGTGACTAAAGGAGGGATATAAATGCAGTGAGAGAGGACTCGATGGTTTTAAGTCTAGGAGTCTAATTATACTTGATAAATATCTCTGCCTGCTGGGTAGAGAAATGAATTGTTGGGCCAAAGAATGAAAACAAAGAGTCCTGTTAAAGACTGAAAGATGAAGGCTGGACTTGGGTATTAGCAATGGCATGACAGAGAACTGATTAAGTCTGATAAAAAGCTACTGGTTTTTGGTGTTAATCTTGTTTCTGGCTTCTTTACAGAACTCCCTCATTAGTTCTAATACGTTTTTAGTTGCTTGTCTTGAATTTCTAGACAGATGATTATATCAGATACTTAACAGTGTTTCTTTCCTTTTCCACTATTAGTTTACAACTCATTTATATTTCTCATTTATTGCCCTGTCTAGAATAATGTTTCTAGAACAATGTTGAATCTTGTCAGTAATAGCAAACATCCTCTTATTTCTAAGTTTAACATAAAGCCATAGGACTAATGGGTAGCTAACAAAAACCTACAGTAAGTAATATGCTTGAGTGAATCAACAGAAGCATTTACATTAATGTCAGAAATTCACTTTGTTCAGATTGATAATTATAAAATATGTATGAAGATGTTCCCATTCACAATAATAACAAAACTATAAAATGTTGGACAATAATTTAAACAGAAATATGAAGAACTAAATGAATGAAACTCTAAAGTATTGTTTTAAGAACATTTTTTAAAAACTAAATTAAATGAAGTAATGTAAAATGTACCTGGATTGAAGAGTAAATGATTTTAAAGCTTTTAATTCCTTACAAATTTACCTATAATTCTATGCAATCATAATCAAATCCCAAGTAAATTTTAGAATTAAAAGGTTATTTCTAGACTTGTCTGGGAAAATAAATATGTCAAGAAAAATCTGAAAAAAATGACAAACTTGCCCTACCAAATATCAAAACATAGTACAAATCTATGGTGATGAACAATTTGGCACTGAGACAGTAGATAAGTACATCTACAGTAAAGACTAGAAGACCCAAAATCCGTCCCAAATATGGAAATTCAGTACACAAAGATGGCATTTCAAAGCAATGGGGAAAGGATATACCTCTCAACAAACAATATTGAAGGTAATGTTATTTTTTGGAGAAAATAACTCACAAAGATCCCTAGGTTGTACCACCATACAAAAATAAATTCTAAAGACAGTAAGAATAGAATTCTAAGAAATAAAACTATTAAAGTATTGAAAGAAAATAAGAGATTCTCTTCTTACACTTTTGAAGTGTGAAGTGCTTTCTACAAAATCTGAATGCTTTAAAGAAAATGGGATAAATCTGACTTCATACAAAATTTTAATTTCTAAATGACCAAAAAATAAATCAGAAGACAATAAATTGGAGGAAAATACTTTCAATATAATAACTTGTTTTTAACTATATAGAGCCACAATACGGAAAACAAAAACCAAAAATGTGGACAGAATATATGAAAGAATAATTCATACAAAAAAGTGTATCACTGGTCAATAAATATATGAGAAGATGCTTAATAACTCATAACTAAATAATTAAAACAATCTGGTATTTTTGGCTTACATCAGTGGTTGGCAAAGTATGGCCAGTGAGCCAGGTGTGGTCCATTGCACCGTTTTTGTGCAGCCAGAAGCTACGAATGATTAAAAATAAAAAGAATGAAGTGGGAAAAATCAAAATAAGATTACTATTTCATGATATGTGAAAACCATACAAAATTCAAATTTCAGGGTCCATACAGTTTTGTTAGAACACAGCCATGCTTACCTGTTTATGTGCTTACTATGTGAGTTACTCTTCACTGGCAAAGCTGAGTAGCTATGACGGAGACAGTACAGCCCACAAAACCTAAAAATATTTACCATCTGGCCATTTACAGAGAAAGTGGCAGAGTCCTAGCTTAATTTGTCAAAGATCAAAAGTCTGATGAAACACAATGCTAGCAAAGGTGGGAAATAAAATCTCTCAGCCACTGTTGGTGGGAGTGTAAATCAGTGCAACACCTCTGACGACAACTAAAATTTCAAATGCTTTTCTGCTTTGACTCAGAGCTTTTAGGGATGTAACCTAAAGATTCATTTGTACATTGATTTTCTTGTCCATTCTCCTTTAGACTGTTATAGGACTCATATTTCAGAGGATCTTGATAATCTGATTCATCAGGGCATGAAATCATGGCACATACCAATGAACTGTTTAGAAATGGATTTGTCTTTACTACCTAAACCATGAATTTAGTATAACTACATGGCAAAGGTGATGACTACATGACTATGCAAGGAACTATGAAGCAATTTCTTTAATCAAAATATGTGCAAGTATGAGACATCAAGCACCAACCCTTTCTGACCTATCAGTAGCTATTATTAACAGTAGTATGTGAGAAAAAACCTGAGGTCTCAGCAGACCAAAGCGTACTGAGTCAGTGCTTTGATGCAGCTGATCAAGTCTTATTTTGATCCTGGCTGCACTAACAGAAATGCATGGTCTAGAATACAACATTCTGGTCATGTCCCCCATGTGCAGAGCTCTGCGCATTATGCATTAAGAACCGGCCTCAGCAGACATGTCACATGAGTTTCAGGCCCCCATGTCACATGAAACAAGGATGAGAACATTAGGATTCCTTTCAGGGAGCTTAAGCAAATACATAAAAATTGATTATTAAGTACCTGAATTATACTCTAAATCCAACCAGTATCAGTTAGAATGGAGGTAAACAGAAATATCCCTTTTCTTTTTAAAAAGGGGAAACTAAAGAGAAAAATCAAAGTCAGAAATGCCAGTATCCAGTTAAATGTGTCCATGTAGAGACCAAACTGGGTAATTCAAATTCTAGACAGGTCTTTAAGTTTCACATTTATAGATTAACTAGTTAACCACAATTTCATTTTTTCTTTTTGGTTACATAGTCCTAATCTTAGAAACCCTCACTACAGATCTTTGTTAAAACAAGCTTTCCTACAACGTATAATGTCATAATAACTTCCCTTGGTCCTTGAGTAATTCACAATAGATAATGATGTTAAAGCATCAACAAAACACTTCCATGTCCCTGTATTTTCCTGCTATTCCCGTCTAGACTAGTTCTAGATAGCTCTGGTAATGAAGACACCATAGAAAATATTTTTTATAGTAAACTTTATTTTCAGTAATACTTAGAGTAATTTCAAAGCAGGTCTGTGCTCTAAGATGAGCAAAACAACAGATATCCTAAATCTGATAAGAGAGATTTTTTCCCCCTTGTTTGGGTTTCAGGCCCCCAGTGTTGACACCTAATATTTTACCCCTTGAGATTTACCCATAGATACAGAAAAAAGAGACAACATCAACATACAATTGTCAAACTGTATGAGGGCATAATAATAATCTCTTGTGTTACACACTACCCACCTCTTCAGGGCTGGGATGACAATGATTGATTTTTTTCCTTGCATTTTGACATTAAATCAGTGTCATTTTGTTTTTAAGTAAAATGTCAGAATGTGTGAAAATGCACTTATTTCTCTTAGTACATTAAAAGCAGTGGAAGTTTAAATCTTCACAGGTCCAAGCTGGGACATGCCTACTACTGATGGGGTTTATTCAACATACTAATTCCAAGTTTGGCAACCATCAGCAAACTGTTCAAAAGAAACACATAAACAAAAACATCAGGTAAAGGACAAAAGAAGCACTCAACCACTAAAAAATTTTAAGAGACTTGGACCTGGCAGGTCCTTTCCACTGCACGGTGAGGAGGTACCAGGGCCAAGCAAGTAAAGGTGGACCTTCCATCCTGGGAAGTGCCCAAGAAAAAGCACGAGCAGTCATGCACTGAGGCCTTATAAGTACACATGCGGAGTTCCTAATCTAACTGCCAATAGTTCAAAGAGATGAGAAAACTGAAGGCTGGGGAGACCAATGCCTTTCCGCAGTCACCGGGATAGGTAATGGCAGATATTCAGTCTCCCGGCTTATTGCTCTTGACCTTGGTCTACCACCAACTATAAGGCATTATGCTTCACAGCATCATAACAATGATGAAAGTGAGATCAATAACCTTCCACAAGAGATTTTTTAAACTCTGCCTTCAGGGTATCTTTATTATACTTAAGGACTACATTTTAAAAATCCATCTGGTTTGGAGTTTATAATCAAAGCTAATCAGAAAGCAGGATTCAACCAAAATTCTCTTTAAGTACAATTTTCAATAATAAAGGATACCCATACAACTAAGAATTATGGAACCCCTGTTCAAAGTCACACAGCTGCAGTCGTGGCTTTGCACGCAGCTGCTGCCACTGCAGGGAGGAACAAGGATAGACAAGCCAACGAATGTTCAAGCAAAACCTCTCCACAGGGAATGAATATACTTATTTCATTTTGACATTAAATCAGCTACTGTTTTTGCACTTTATCTGTATATATGTTAGATCATTTCGGGTGATACCCAGCATCCGGTATATTGAAACAAGTAAATTTTTGAATATACAAAGTATCTTGGGCATTTAACTAAATTTCACACTGGTGAAGAATAGCAATAGTGAAAAGTACCTGGCACCTGCAATTAAGCCTGCAGGCATGAATTTTCCAGAGTGGTAGAATCTCATTCCCATAATGCCAGCCAAGGTTCCAGATGTAGCTGACGGGAAAGATGAAGAGTCAAAGATCACTATGTTTTATATGTGAGAGAACTAAGAAGTTACCAAAGGCCCACCCATCTTTCAAGGGCCAGACCCCATCTCATCCCATCTCCTTCTCCAGGCTGGGGGAGCCTTATGACCGACAGGACTAAATACAAAGGCAGGAACACCAAGCCCTCACAGTCCAGGCCCAGCCTGCCTTTCCGGCCTCTTCTTACCACTCTTCAGTCATAGTTTTTTCCCTGTTGCTTGCCAATGCTTTGGCCCTGTAAAACCTCCCACTCAACAGCTGTTAAAATACCTACTGTATGCCCCTAACTGTACTAGGTGCTGGAGAACAAGACTGCTATCAAAGGTCTTTGCTCTAATAATGTTTGGGGTTTAACAGGGCAGACTTGAAAGACTTACAAATAAAAACCTACACCAAAGGTATAATTTGTGATACAGGTGCAATTAATGCACATGACATAAATAGAGGAGCCAGTCTATTCAGGGAGATCATGAAAGGACTTGCTGAGGGAGTGAAGATGGAGCCAAGGTGTGCAGAGCAGGAGTCAGTGAGCTAAAGGGGAAGGAAAGCGCCTTCCAAGTGGAGCGACAGGATATGCAGAGCCCCGTGGTGTGTGGGAGCTGCAAGACCGATGTGGCACAGACCCCGGGTGTGGCAAGGGAGGAGGAGGGCTCAGACCACACAGACCCTGGAAGGCCACATTAGGGGCTGTGGTTTTCACCTCAAGAGCAGTGAGGAGCCATTAAAGGATGTTAAGCAGAGGGATTCATGAACAGTTATACTCTAAATATAATTCCAGCTTTACCAAGAACAAACTTCAGGGAAACCAGAGAACGTGTAGAGATACCAATTAAGAAACTCCTTCAGGAATGCAGGCAAAGGAGTGCATGACTGGGATGAGGATGGAGGCCGTGGAGAGAGATGAAACGATTTAGGGTATGTGCCGGAAGGACTGCCGATAGGACTTGCTAATGAATTAGCCAAGAGGGACGGAGGAAAGGAATCAAGACCCAGACTTGGGGAAAACCACCAGAAGACCAAATGTACGTGAGCACAGGAGGTCAGGTTTGGGCAAACGCCTTGAGATGTTTAAAGAATTTCAAGCAGACAACTGTGTATCCAAGAGTAAAGTTTGGAGGAGAGATACACTTGTCAATCATTCCTGTAAGGCTGCTTAACTGAAGGCCTGGGCTTCAACGACACTGTCAAGTGAGAGGGCAGACAGACTGTACAAGCCAGGCCTTAAGAACTTTAATATTCAATGCCCTAAAATGAGGATGGGTCAACAAAAGAGAATGAGAAAATAAAAAGGAAAACTGGAGAGTGAAAAGTGGACAATGCTGAGAACAGCTAAAGAGCCAAAAAAAAGAACTACAAAAATGTACACTGGCTTTGAAAAACATGGGTGACTGCCAACCTCAGGGTGCAGGGTGGGGGCTGTTTCCATGGACATGGGGGACAGAATGGAGACTGAAGTTGGCTGTGAACGAGAGGTAAAGAAATGAAGACAGAGTATAACAGGTTTTTTAAGAAAAGTTTCTGAAGGGGAAGAGGGAGGCAACTGTGTGCTGGTCACAAGAAATCTTTTTTTTTAATGGGTGAGATGAGCCCATCTGGACATTAGTGGGAGGGACCCATGAGAACATAAGAGGTGGCACTGCTGATAGAGTAAAGCCCCAAGAAGGCAGGGGAGGAGAGACTCAGAGCCTGGTGGAGCCAAACAGGACAAGGGAAAGCTTGCAGGCTGGCGGCAGGCAAGAGCCCCATGTGAAGGCTGCCGTTTTCTCTTTGAGCAAGCAGTGAGGTCATCTGCTCAGTGAGGGGAGTAGAATCAGAAAAGGAAAGAAGAGGTCTGAGAGTCATTCAGGAGCTTGAGGGAGGGAGGGAGCTGTTAGGCAGAGCTAAGGGAGGGCACTTCTTCCTCCCTTAGCACACCCCACATCAGCCATTGCCGACCTCCCTCCCCAGCCCACATGGACTTGCAGGAGTCACTCTGCTATCATGTTTGCTCTCCCCACCACACCAAAGGCCAGAACGGAAAAGCATGAGTAGGTCTGCTCATCCTGTGGGTCTGTGGAGACAGTGAGATGCCCATACTCCTTGCAGCGTCTGGCAGCTGGGTGGTGCTCAATAGAAATTCACCAAGGCCACCCTGGTAAGAAGTATCCTCATTTCCCCAAGCTGCTCACTGCCTGTGCTGCTCCCACAGCATTTCAGCGACCCCCAAAGTCGCTTTTTATGTCAACTAAGGTGACAGCTCCTCAAAGGACAGGCCTATGTCTTACACATTTAGCTTACTGCTGAAGGCCTAACAAATGATTTTCAAATAGGAAAAATGCAGTATTGATGCAAACCTAGGCCAGACGTGTGATCCTTCAGGCATGCTCAAGCACCCCTGCCTCAGCGGGCAATCACAATGGCTAAGAGACATATACTTGCCTTGTACAAGTTTAATACTAATTTCTCTGGTTAAATCTAAACTGATAAAGTATGAAAACCTTCCCATATTCTGTACATAGAAGATAAAGAGAAACCAGCACACCCCTTGCCACCCACCTCTTCCCCTAGTTTAAAACTTCCCTGGACTTGGCAGTAGTAGTGAAGCTTCCTTCATGTGAAGAACCTGCCACATTCCCCCTCCTGGCAGGGTATTCTGGACACACAACTGCACCAGGCCGACAGTGAACCTCACATACCTAGGAAAACCCAAATGTTCCTGGGATCCTGAGACAGCTGGTAAGCGCCCAGGCCTGCTAAACCACCGAAGAGGAGCCCAGCAGCCAGGGACGGGACACTACCTGGAGGGAAGCAAACACACTCTTGCATTATCATGTCACTCAGTTCATTAACAGAATCCACCAGACTTCCCGTCCCTGCGCAGGAAAATAGCAAAGAGAACTTCTTTTGACACAGTTCATAACAAAGGAGTTCTCGAGCACAGACATTTTAGGGAATTTTCGATTTTCCCATAGAAGTCGTAACACATCGTTCCTCTCCCCTCTAATAGGCAGGAGAAAAGAAGGGCTCCTAACCAAGCCTGATTAACCCACCAAGGGCTGGAACTGTCCATGGGCAGGACTTCAGGCAACTCCCAAAGGAAAGGGAAGTAGGGCCAGTGACTTAAAAAACATGTGCTGAATAAGAATTCTGGTATATGTGCTGGGTGGGGATGCAGGCAAGGAAAGAAGATAGAAACAAGCATGTTCACTGATGCACCCATGCCTGGTTTAAGGAGGAGCCTTAAAAAAATGAGTTTATGAAGACAAGAGCTTTCCTCCTACTTGAAGAGCACATAGATGGCACTCTGGGGTCAAGGATGAGGTATGGCAGTCAGTGATAATAACAGTCTCGTACTCCATGCCCAGCACCTTTAGATAAAGAGGCAAAAACAAGTGACTGTTCAAGAAGCCTGGCTCATCCCAGCCAGATAACAAAAAGGCAAGTGCAGGAGGAGCTTCTGGACTGACAGTAAGTCTGCATTTGAGCTAGAGGGCTTAGAGCAAACCTGAGTCAAACGAGATTTTGGTTTTTTAGGGGGGCATTTGGGGATCCTGGGGACTCCCTCTTCACCATGAAGATCCTAAGAGGTTAAGTAACTACAAACCATACCAGCTTTTGCATAGCCAATGATCCCACCAGAAGCAACCAGAGCTGCATAGCCAAAGCCGATCCAGTGTAAAGGCACTCTGAAAATGAAAGAGAAGAAAGCAAATGCCAACAAGGTTTAAAAAAAAAAACAAAACCATATAATCATAGGATGGGACTAAAATGTCATTATTCCAGAACAATCCTATCACCATAGAAATAAAAATAAATCCCAGAGAAGTTAGATGACTTGCCTAGAGTCAGTGGCAGAGCTGGGACTCAAATCCAGGTCCCTAGCCTACATTTCCATCCACCTATACCCCATGCTGCCCAGGAGTCTACTTGGAGGGCTCTTTTCAGATAAGGAGAGACACTGGTCTTGAGAAGCTCCTGGCTATTCCATTCCAATTCACTGTGCCACTTACAGGGGGCCCGAGTCCTTCTGCATCGTTCTTTCACTCCGTGCACACAGAAGACCACACCAGCTCTGCACCTGCGGAGGAGACGCTGGATCAGCGGTGACTGACAGCACAGCTCTCTAGCAGTCAGGAAGTGGGTCCAAGTTCCAGCTCCACCCCTTAGTAGGTAAGAAGTTAAGGGGCAAGCTACCCAACCTGCCTAAGCCTCACCTCACTATACCATGAGGATAACAAGGGTACAAATTTCCTACGGCTATTGCGAGCATTTAAATGGGTAGTACGTAAATGTGCTTAGCACAGAGTAAATGCTAAACAGATACCAACTATTTGGTAATAACCCTAATGTTAGTAACACAGGCCACAGGAACCGAGCAAAATTCACTGACCAGCTCTGTAGAGGTAGTGAGTTTACCTTTCATCACCTAACCAAGTTGTTACTAAATCAGCATGTAAAAATCTCCCGTGTCCTTAATTCAACTGTTTCAACTGCCCCCTTTAGTTGGGAGGGGTGCTGCTTTTCCCCCCTGCCCTAAGAATCATTTCAATATTCAAACTGAAAAACTTTCAGACAGCTACTCTTGCATTCAAACCATTGTTCTTTTCGGATGGGGGGCGGCACGGGGGCGGGAAGTGCAGGGAAGGAGGATAAAATATATTAAAACCCCAATCATAATTACGTGGGACACCATACCCTTAGCAAACCAGGGTGTTAACTCCTATTTTCTTCGAAAAAATGCGTTTGTTACCAGTGAGGCTAAGCTTGAAAGCAATACACACGTCTTTTGTTTAAGTGTATATTAAAAAAGGGGAGGGACACCCTGGAATCGTGCCAATCATTAACTGGAAGTAGCACTGAGTTACCAAGATTTTTAAAGAGATAGAACAATAAAACCTGCAGGAAATTTATCAACACGACGCTACATTGGTTATGGATCTGCCTCGAAAGCACACGGATGCCACAGGGTTCACGTATTGTAAGAAAGCAAAAAATGCGAGACCACAAAAGCAATTACGACGCAGCCAAACTGAATCTTGAGATCGAAGAGCATGAGGCTGCACAGCCTCGCACATAATTGCAAAAAGTCAAAAGGTATCAATAAAAGTAATCATTCCTAAGTACCCGAACCGCTTTCCAGAGGTCTGCACCGGTGGACGACTGCACGCTCCGGGATACGCCGTCCAGCCGGAAATGCCGTGGCGCGCACTCTGCGTCCCGAGGGTCGGGCGGGGCGTAGGACGGGGAGGGGGCGGGGCGAAGCGTGGGGCGGGGCTGGAGGCGATTGTCGTGGCTCGCGCTCTCCTTCCCGGGCGCCGGACAGAGCGTAGGGCGGGGCTTGAGGGGAGGAGTCGGCGGCGCTCTCTGTGCGTCCTGGAACCGTGGCGTGGGGCGGGGCTTGCTGCTGAGAGACCCTGCGTTCTCAGCGCTCCAGGGGTGGGGGCGGAGCTTGAGGAGGGGAGTCACAGCGCGCGCACCAAAACCGGGGGCGGGGGCCGGGCCCGGACAGGGCTGTTGTCAGTTCCAAGTCCCTGGGCAGAAAACCGGAAACCCAGACTTTGGGTTTCGCAAGAGGTCTTCCGACGTGCGCTATTGCCCGGGAGCTGTGTCTGGCGAGGTCGCTCACTGCTCAGTAGGTGAAGCGCTGGAGAAACCTCAGCCTGGACAGGGGAGAGTTCTTGACTCTGGGCGAGAAAGAATTCTGGACAGGTCAGAGGAGTGTAAGTGAGGGAGGAATTCATTAAAGCAAGAGCAGCAGGAATGGCAGCTGCTTTGCAGGCTGCAGAGAACGGATAAGTGCGGAGGGAAACATCCGCCTAGGGCAGATGTCCTTGCCAACTCCTGAAGCCAGGGTCACCTGGCATCCTGCGTCCGCTGGAGTCTGCACAGCATGGGGACTAGCACCTACCATACCACTCCAGGATTTGGGGGAGCCACGGAGCACAGGCGGCTCCGTGAGATTATGTTCTGAGAACTTCCCATAGTTTTTCAAGCAGGCTACTAAGCAGATCGCACAGCTGCAGTTTTGCCTAGGTCACCCAAGCGACGGAAACATGCAGGCCCAAATCTGAGCTCTTAGCAGCCCCTTAGGAGTAAAGCGGAGACAGAGTAAATAAAGACTTGGAAATAAAGTGAAATAGCAGAGGCAAACCACAATAATTTGAGCAGGGAGAAAGCTTTATTTGAAAGTATGAACTTAAATAAGGAAAGTGCAAATCATCCTCAGAGATGTCGTGTGCTGAAAGTTTGGGGATTCTGTCTTTTAAGGCTTTCAAGAATGGGGCAAAGGGCAGAAGGGAGGTTGTTGGGCATAGACTTGATTTGTCATCTCAAGGTGCTTATCTCTGGTGAGAGACACCATGTCTCCTTTCCTTTATCAGTTCTTCAGCTGATTCTGCTAAATAAACCCAACACAAGGGATTTGTTTATTCTGTTCTCCAAGATAGTGGTTACCCTCAAGTATTGGGGACATACCAGTTAAGACTACCTGCCCTGCTTTAAGATAGGCTGTTGAGTTATTGTCTACCAGAGAATACGTTATGAATCTTCTCAGCTGTTTTTTAAAGTGGGATCTTAGCTTTAAGATGGGGTCCCTCCTGTTCTTACTATACTGTTTATATCTCGACATTTCTCCTCATAAGCAGGAAAAGTTCATTATGATGCTTGCCCCATGTCCCTGCCCTACACCTCAGTGCCAGGCCTAGGGTGGTGGGAGCCACTTAGGCAAAGGGAGGGAGTGAGGCTGGATTCTGAAGAGCACGTTAATGGAGGAAACCAGATACTGGCCCTCTGGGAGGGCTGTCCCTCTAGCCTGAGGATTGCCTACAACGGGAAGGGACTACTTTCTACCTACAGAGAAAATGGTGGCCACAGGCTAAACAATGCTGCTGAGATGTTTTAGGGAGTGAGGCTACTTGACAAGCTTCTTAAAGGAGAGAGGGTAAATTAAATGATATCCCACTCCCTTCTGAATGCCAGTCGCCACAGAAGACATTACTTCCACTAACTCTCTAGATCTGCTGGTCTTCCCAGTGTTTATCCTGTATCACTGCTCACTTGCCATGGACCCAAACCTGGGTGACATTGTTTACAAAGTTCGAAGCACTTTAACATGGATGGACTCATTTAATCCTAACAACCCTATGCAGTAAAAGACTATTATTATCTCCTGCTTTCATACACGGAGGAATTTGAGGGAGAAAGGTTATCTAATTGGAATAAGGTCATACAGTTAGTAAATGGCAGAGCCTCCCTAATGCCAACATGTACAAACAACTCTTAAAACTCAACAGTAAGAAAAAAATCAGATTGAAAACTCAGCCAAACACCTTAACAGACACCTCACTAAAGATACACAGATGGCAAATAAGCATATGAAAAGATGCTCCAGATCATGTCATCAGGGAAATGGAAACTAATAAAACAATGAGATGCCACTATTCACCAAATTAGAATGACCACATCCCAAGTCACTGAAAATACCTAACACTGCCAAGGATGTGGAACAGGCACTCATTCACTGCGGGTAGAAATGAAAAATGGTACAGCCTCTCTGGAAGAGTTTGGCGGTTTCTTACAAACCTAAACTTACGCTTTTACCATACAATCCAGCAATCATGATCCATAGTATTTATATTTACCCAGAGAAAATTCTTATCCAGTTGAAAGTTCTTGTCTAGCCAAAAATGTACACATGGATGCTTATAACAACCTTATTCAAATTGCCAGAACCTGGAGGCAACCAAAATGTTTTCCAATAGATGAATGATAAACCATGGCACATATGATGGGAAATTATTCAGCACTAGAAACCAATGAGCTAGCAAGCCATGAAAAGACATGGAGCAAATTTAAATACAGATTACGTGAAAGCAGCCTATCTGAGAAGGATGCCATACAATATGATTGTAACTCTATGCTGTCTTGGAAAAGGCAGAACCCTGGAGACAACAAGACCAGCGATTGCCAGCAGCGGATGTGGAGAAGAGGTGACTAGACAGGACAATTGTTTTAGGGAAATGAAAACAGCCTGTATAATAATGGATACATAACATTATATATTTATCCAAACCCACAGAATGTATGCCAGGAGAGATCCCTAAGTAAACTACAGATTTTGGGTGATTATGATACATCAATATATAGTTCATCCTTGGTAAAAAAAAAAAAAAAAACCATTCCCATCCATGATCCTAGGGAAGATTACGCATGCAGAGGGTATGTGGGGAATCATTTGTACCATTTTCTCTATTTTGTTACAAACTAAAACTGCTTTTAAAAAAAAGGTCTTAAAGACCCAAACCTCTATTCATCTTTGTTTAAAGCCTGAAGTTATCAAAGAGGTAGACTGAAATGTCAGACACACAACTTGGCTCATTTCCTAGATGATTTCCTCCTACAAAATGAATCAATGGCAATTCATGTCAAGCGTTAGATGTCTTATTCTGTGTAAACAGGAGGGACTCCCATGGGGGCCTCAGATTGGACATCTGCCCAGCTATTTCAAACCTATGAATCCCCTACTGATGTCTCTTTTCAAATACCCAGTAATCTACTGAGAAAAGAAGAAATGAGAAGATAATCAACAGGTTGAATTTAAGACTACCTTTGTTAGATTAAATGATTTGTTTTTGATGGTCTGAAACAGAGGGAAAAAAAAACATGAACATCATTTTCTTGCTCTTGGAGTACCTTGTCACTCACAGCTTGGAAGAAGCACAATTTAATGAAGTACGGCAATATTTCTAATAACCTTTTTATACATAGCCGTAAACTTAAGCATATGCTCTATACATGTGTATTTTATATGTCTATACTTTTTACATTTGTCTTTATTTCCTGGTGTGAAAATCTTTTTGTACACTTTAGCTATCAAAATGAAGAAAATCTGCATTAAAATACTAGAACGATCTGAAAAAGCCAAAATAAAGCAGTTTTTATAATTCTTCCCCCATTTAGGAGAAAAATATAAAAAACAAAAAAACAAAACAAAAAAAAACCAAACCTCTTTTATCCACCTCTGGTAAGGAATATATTTAAGATTCTGTACTATTTTTAACCATCACATATTGAGAAAGATCTTTTTCACAACAGTAAAAATTATATATTATACATTTAACACACTACACATCACTGTGACATATAATTAGTAAGCTGTTGCCTACTGAAAAGTTTTACCACTGTTAAAATAAAAACCACCTAAAAGTGGCTCTTTTAAAGCTGTACATATTCTCCAAAAGAAGAAATTCTTAGCTTTACTCAGGACAAGAAATTAGGTATATTTGGGAAGAATGATTCCATCTGAAAAGTTTTCTTCTCTTATGAGAAATTTGGGATTCACTGCACCACTGACATTTTCTTCTTTTTTCTCTTCTTCTTTTCCAACATTTCTACCATCTTCCTCTTCTTGGTTGACATCAGACTATTTCCTTTCATTGGCTTATTCCTACCGTCACCAGCTAAACCACCTTTCTTCACGCTGGGTCCGGACTGCCTTTCTTCTTCCTGCACTACACTGCCAGATTCCTTTTTGTTGGTTTTGGACTGTTCTTCTTCAGTTACTAAAACATAAGAAACAGTGCAATTAAAGACTTTTTCCCCTTTGAAATAAACACAGGCTGACAATAAAGTGAAGTTATCTGGATCTCCTTCACTTTAACACTTAAGGATAAGAGACTATTCAATTTTTTTAAATGGTCACTTTCATTTACCAAGGGAAGGCTCTGTAATCCGAGGAGGGCTTTCTTTTGCGTCTGTCACTCTGTCTAGCCACACTCCAAGACAGGTAAGCCTGGCGTTAGTGTTCACTTCACAGAGCAAAGATGGGGGAACTTTCTAAACCAGAAGAGAGAAAAATACATAATAATATAGGGGGTTTTACACCATTATTTTTCTTTTTCCATAGTTAAATCACCTTGATTTAAAACTTACCATATCTTGAGAATAAAAAATAAGCTATTAGAAGAAATCTATTATGTTGATTCATGATTGGTCTGCGTACGTCCTTCACAGAGCCAATTCCTGAATACTCAGAAATTGTAAATTTACTAAGGTGTCATGTCTTGTTCACTTCTAGGTCCTGAACAAAGAATCTTGCACAACGTAGACATTCAACAAACCACATTTACAGAACTAAACCAAGAGAGGGAGACTCCTAAGGGAAATTTAATTTTCTAATTATCTGGTTCACAACTACTGTTAGTTCCACAATCAATCAGAAATTTGCAATTTTTTTTCTAGTAATAACGTATTTTTATTCAACAAAATCTTACAGAGAACATCAACATACAAAAGAGAAGAAAGTAACACTTCTTGGATCAAAAAAGCAGAAGCTGTGGGATGATGCCGGCTCAGATTCACCAGTACTGGCCCTAAGTCAGCTCTGTGGAACCCTAACTTTAAAACTATGAGTATCTATCATGCCTGGAAGAAATTTTACAAGTTTATTTAAAGATCTCTGCCTCATGACCTTTAAAAATGATTCCACTTAATTTAAAGCAATATTGATATTAAGACTTGTTTTAAAGTGTATTTATATTGTGCTAAAACACTGACCTTATCCTGCTGAAGCTTCCACATTTTGATGAAACCATCACTCGATGCTGTAACAATAACCTGATGCTCTGGAATTTCAAAGCTAGACATGTCTTTTATCCTAGGATAGAGATAGTAACACCATAAAACACCATTTCTTCCAAATGGAATGATGCTGTTAATAAAGCTCCTATGCACAATCTCTTGATTTTTCAGTGTTCCCAGTGCTTCCACACTACTCCATGAGCAATGCTAAATAGTAGTAACTAAGCTTCACATTCCTGAGGCAGAGGGTCTAAATTCCAGGGTAAAATTGACTGTTAACTATATCTTAAGAAAAAATTGAAAAGATGATGATATAATTATAAATAATCAGGTCATTACAAATTAACAAAAATTCTTAAACAAAGCCCCTCACTTAAGAAACTATGTATGCAAAGACAACAGATGAATCAAGGCTTCCTTGCCCCTTAACAATTTTTAAAAATAAAAATCAAAGTGTTACTTCCAGTCTTAGAAGTCCCACAAAACTAGGATCTGCTTTAAAATAACATGGGAGGACAGAAGTGGTTGGGGATACAGATGAAGCAAGACTGGCCATAAACTGACAACTGCTAATGCTGGGTGGTGGGTCTATGGAGTCTGCGTCCTTAAACTCATCTGTCTGACTTTATAAATTTTCCTGTAGTAAAAAATAAACAAAACAAAATCCACAGAGGCACTGTATAAAATCTACATCCCACTCCAGTCTCCAGAGCCATGCACCGTGTGGCTCGCTCTTACCTACCCACAAATGTCTTCTATCTGTTGCTATCCTATTATCCAGCTCCTTCCTCCCCAGACCACTGTGCCTACAATTTTCTCCTCCTCTTAGAAGTAGCTCCTTTTAATTCCTAAGACCCAGTCCCCTAATTCCCTGATATTATCTAAGTTAACTACTAGTATCCTTAAATTATAATATTCTATCCCCCTCCCATTATGATTACCCACCTGTTTGTCATACCTGTTGTTGCCCTACAATATGAGCCACAAATGGAAGCTCATCTTTTTTGTTCATCATTAAATACCTAGCACCGTACTTAATAATGAATGCTCAATGAATACTTCTTAGATGAATAAATGAAAGCTCAAATATCATAGGTGTTATTAGTACATTTGAATTGGCCTTGAATGCATTCACTTCACAATTCAGGGAAAAGGTAGGGCCTATATACTGTTTGCAGTTTTCTAAGTATTTACAAAGAGAGATTTCTTAAAACCTGTTATGGAGAAAATAAGAAGTATGTATTTAAGATGTAGAACATGCAAATGAGGCAAAATGAAGTGTAACTTTACATTACCAGCCTTTTCAAAATTATAGTAGAAAAAGCAGGGGCAGAGTCAGATAGAACTCAGTTTTGACCCCAGCTCCATCCCTAGCAGGAGGGTAATCTTGGCCAAGTCACCTGGCCATTTACTCTGACACTCAGAGTCTATCCCTAGAAATACAGTGAACAGTTAAAGGTAACACACTGGCACAAAACAGAAATAAACTGTTGTTTATTTCTCCAGCTGGAGAGACATACAGTGCAGAAAGGGTGGAGAAGTGGCAAAGAGGAATAAAGTAAAAGGACCAGAGTGGTTAGGGCAAAACTCAAGACTGTTTAATTTTTTTTCCCCATTAAAATATGCTTGATTTCTGGCCCAAAGTCTAACAAATTATTAGAGACTATCTCAGGCAAACCAATAGTCCTGATGACAACTTCACCACCTTTGCATTACCAGGAGCAGGAAGACAACATTTCCACCACCCTTACCTGACTCCAGAAATCACCTATAGATAGGAATGTCTCTCTCTGAAGTTCATAAAAATTTATACCCTGCTTTCTGAAACTACTATATATATAAAACACCTATTGAGATTCTCTGCATACATACACATAGAGATTGGCAAAAAAAAAATACCTGTTTTCATGAGCTTTAAATTCACAGAGGCACACTAGTGACTCACAGTCAAAAAACCTTACAACTTCTTCATCTCCAGTCACTGCAAGGACAGACTCCTATTAAGGAGAAAAAGAATATACCCAGAATGTCATCAACGGTGGTCGGCCACCATGATATGCACAAAACTTCCATCACTGCTTTCTGATCACTTACAGAAAGAAAGGTAACAGAAGACACCCTCTTTTCATTTGTGATGGTACCACTGACAGATGCAGTATCCAGCTGATATATATCTATTTTATTCAGTATGACAACTACGTATTTCTCTCCTTTTGGGGACCATTCCACTATGTGAGCATCTGTAAGTTAAAAAAAAAAAAAGCTTTTTTACTTCCTAAATGGAAAATAAAATGATCAGAGTTTATAATGTATACTATACTGCAGATTCTCACATCTATTACCCTATTTAATCTTCACAACAAACTTACAATACATATTTTGCCAGTTAAATTTTTAGACAATAAACCAGGTTCAAAGAATCATTAAAGGTCATACAGCTGGTAGGTGGCAGAGCCACAGAATCCCCATCTAAAGTGGGAAAAAAAAGTAATCTAAGGCACTTGCTCTTAGAGGTGGTCACCATCATGCAGAGAAGTAAATATGTACATGCACGTACACAGAACACGTGTGTGTATTCAGAATCCATCACGTTATTAAAAAATACATTCGAAAAAAATACTCACTTTGTTTTATATTTTTTATAAATGCTGATCTTCCTTCCACAAGATTCCATGTTCTGCAAAACAGGAAGCTCACTTATACATGATCACTAACTTACTAAGTATAAAGGTAAACATAATGAAGACTTACTCAAATGACAACTTACTAAATACTTGACTATTTAAAAGAACTGCCATCTTTCTTATAGCAACATCTGAAATATTTGTTATCAAGCAAGATTAAGTTATCCATTCCCACACTCTTTTAAGGTAATTTAGTATTTTTTTAAAAGGCTTCACATCCTAAAACATTTCTTTCTTGTACACGCCCCTCATCACTTCACAGTTTACACTGACCGGAATGCTATGTGCGTGTCTGAATTTACAGCTTGTCATTTCTTCCTACCGTTATGAAAAGGTTCACTAGCTTCCAACCTTTCCTTGTACTGTAGTATCTTTAAATGGCTGAGACGATTACAGAAACAGTCTCTATTATAATAAAAGATACCCTGGCTGTGGGTTCTTGTACTTGGAGAACAAAGATCACGACTTAGTAAAGATGCTTGTGGCATTAATGACTTACCTTAATGTCTTATCTGTACCCACAGACAGGGCCAACTTGCCAGATGGGTGAATGGAAAGGAAGGTCACATGTCCTCTAAAAGGAAATCAACAGTTAGCCCCCAACTCGACTGGCACCTGGAAACCACCAGCAGGAAAGGGCTGGACTCACTTGTGAGCTCTGATCGACTTCAGGCAGTCCCATTTCTTTGCATCCCAGACACAAATAAGTCCGTCTTCTGCCCCACTGATTAAGTGCCTGTTGCCAAAGAATTTCAGGCAAGTTATTGTGCCTGTGGAGAAACCAAGATAGGGGAGATTAATATTCACTTGAATGTAAATTGTTTTTCTGGTTTGAAGGCTGTGCTAAGGTAAATGTGTAATGTGTACTATTACTGAAATACAGCTTAAAGTCTTAGATAAAGAAATTATTTTTTTCACATTAGAACACTTTCAAGCCTATGCAATTATATTCAGCAGTTTCTCAAGTTGTAGATATAGACTTGAACTAATCAATTCATTTCTTGCTCTACATCTCTGTAACAATAACTTAGGAAGTGGCTGGCTAGGACTGTTTGAACAGAAATCAAATACAACTGATTAATAGGCTAATCTGGGAACAAATCGAAATGAATAGGCATATGACTTCTACTTTATAAACAGTGGGTTAGCTACCCAATCATCCACAATTCAAATACTATAACTCCAGCGCTGTTTTTTATTTAACTTCTATACAGTTCTCACTCACTGTCATGAGAATTTATTTGAACAATTTAATAAAATGTTACACTATTCAACTTTTCCGTGTGTCATTTACCTTCCCATGGTTAGTATGTTTTCCTACACCTTCCCAACTTCTTCACAAAACACTCCACTCCCTCTGCCCAAAATGAAGCCTGGATCGTCCATGAATTTCCCCCACAGCTTCTGAGACTAGGAGACATAGTCATTGTCCTCAAATATTAAAACGCTGGAAGCAGGCAAGGTAACTGAAGAAAGCATTCCTCTAACTCCCCAAAGCAGGCACATCATTATACATTTACCCTCAAGTAAAATACCCTATCCTTTGGAGCTTGTGTCACCTAGCTTAACTGCCCTACAGCTCAGAGGTCAGCGAACTACTGTCTGCAGGCCAATCGGGCTGATGGCCTGTTTTCATAAATGCAGTTTTACTGCAACGCAGCCTCACTCATTCAGTTACAAAATGTCCATGGCTGGGTTCGTGCTACTGAGGCAGAGCTGAGTAATCTTAACAGAGATCATATGGCCACAAATCCTGAATATTTACTATTTTGTACTTTACAGAATAAAAGTGTGAACCCCTGGGTCATTAACGTTCACCTGCCGCCTCTTGGTCAATTCTTTATACTGAAAAGCCAAAGATCTCTGATGAATAATGTTGCACGTGCACACATGCGTGCACACAAAAACCCTCTAACAGTACATGTTGGCTTACGTACCATCTTCTCAAAGTGGGAGACTTTAGCCATTTTGGCCCAAGTTTTCCTCTTTCCCTTTTCTTCTATTTCCTACTTTGGAAATTTTGCACACCCACATCATCTACTTCTTATGTTCATGACTCCATCTGTTCTCTGTAAAAGGTCTGTTACCAATGGGATTTATATGAGAGATGAAGGAAATCGGAAGTCCTCCTTCACTCATCCTCCATCCGAACTCCTTCTAATTAAGTCCTTTCCTTATTGTTGAACACATGTGCCAATGCGTTTAGACAAACCAGATTTATCTAACTTATTTCTTCCAAGCTTAAGAGAGAAGCCTTCCTTGGGCCAACTGGGTGGGGTTGGAGACAGGAAAAGGAATGTATGTTGAAATCACTCAAAGCCTAGCTTCTGCTGAAAAGCAAGACACTTGTCAAAGTAGCTAAAGACCATCTAACATAAGAAAGACATCACTCCAGATTTACTGCTAGAAATTAATGCCTGGTGTGGAATTTCTACAATATATGAAGATATGGTTCAAAAAGGGTTCTTCTTTGGCTGAGTTTCCCCAAATTAAGTACTTATCTAAATGACTTGACTATTTTGAGCTCTTCCTGTTTTCCTTCTTCTTGAACACGTTAAACCCCTCATTGTTTGTTCCCTGGGAAATGCAATGAAAACAGCATATAATATTCAATACCGAGAAAAAAGAATTACCTATTCAGTATTTCTATTCCTCGATCCTATCCCATCCCAGGCAACTTCACATCAGTGTGGAAAACCCCACCATGACTTGGGAATCACTACTCCTTGACCTCCGCAACTCCAGTAACCTTTACCTCCTCTGTATTTTAGTCCCTCACACCTGCAGCCTGAACACTGTTACCACCTAATGTTCGACATTACAGCTCTTGAACTCTTAAGAATCTCTTCTCTGACCACAACCTTACATCTTCCCAGCCCTTTCATGCTTCCATTACTCCACCTGCTTTATGTTGAGATCTGCAGAACCTTAACAACCCATTTTCTCTAGACTAAAAACCTATTGTCACCAAAATCAGTTCCTTTGTAATCCACCTTTCTGTTGCATACACCAAGTAACTTTCCACTCCCTACAGAAATATCTGTAGCTTACTACACACTGATGTCACTCAATCCACAGCCTTCAACTTCAATCAGGCAGGCTCTCATCAGCCCTTCTTGTTCTTTCCTCACCCTCCCTCCCACTCAATGCCTAACCTCTCACTCTTAAGGACTACCAGGATCTGGCCCCATCTCCACTTTAACCTTCTCATAATACTGACCTGCTTAGTTCCCCATGCACATCAGTGATCAAAAACAAACGTTCTAGACCTATCTTTGGGTTCTAGGTCCACTGTTCAGGAACATTGGGCAAGTCACGTAACATCTCTGAACCTAGGTTTTCTTGCCCATGAACTGAAGACACAACCGTACCTTCCTGGCACTCTCCTGAGAGGCATGTACTCAGCCACTCCTCAATGAAGTTGGCTACCAATATGATGCTGCTCCTGTGCTGCCTGCTCCTCTGGAACACCCTTTCTCCTTCCTTGCAAACTTTACCTGGCTAACAACCGATACTTCTCTTCTAAGATAATACAGATGCCCATTTTAAAGAAGTTTTCAGTGAAAATTTGCTTTCTCCCATTCGCCCCACACTGAATTAAGTGCTTCCTTTTATCTCCCCATAAAGACAGTGAGCAACTTAAGGACAAAGACATTTTTTTCTTTTCTGGACTTCCTGGCACAGATTCTGCTGCATAGCAGACACATAAGTTGTTCAACTGAAGTCAAATGGGAAAGTAATAACATCTCGACGTCATTACTGTAAATGATAAAATTTTCTTACCATTGTGATGTACTAGAGCCCCATGATCTATCTTCTTTTTCATGTCATAAATATGAATGGTTTCATCTTTGCTCCCAGTGACTACAAAACGACTGTTTACAGCCACTGCTGACAAGGACGCAGTGTGGGCATGGTGAGTGAAGTCGGCCACAGGATTCCATTTCTGCTGAAGAGGAAAACATACCATCAGTGCCACAATCATGTCATAGTTCTCTACAAAGCAGGTGATTCCATGATCCATGAAAACTACCGATGGATCCTACAAATGGAAAAATAAACTATACCATGATATATAAGTTAAGACAGACAAACAAAAAAGCTGAGAACTGAATAAGTGGGGAAATGAAGGATGGGAAGGCAATGCTGATTACCATGACTCCAAAACAATTATGGAGACTGGACTAAAAGAACGTTAAGGTCCCACTCAAACCCTTAACTCCTCTTTTGAATAAAGGCACAGCATTCCCGAGGAGCTGTTAGGGCCTTAAGTCAAAGAAGAACCTTTCCTTGTGCATAAAAACAAGGGGTGTTGGTTATATGGGCTACTGTCTGTCTAGGTTTAGAAGCAGGATAATAGTTAAGGGCTTCAAGCATCAAGAGACACTTGAAGATTTGAATCCTGGGTCTGCCAATTATTAGCTGTGTGGCTTTGAGCAGGTCACTTAACCTACCTCAACTTCAGGTTCCTCAGCTGTAAAATGGGGACAACCATATCTGCCTCACAGGGGTGCTGTGAGGACTACCATGTGTCGGGAACATGGTAGCAACTTTATTACAAAGAGAACACAATCAATATTACCTTTAAATATTCGAAACATGTCACCTTTCAGCCAAGGGCCAAAACCATATTAATAATCAGAGCAAAAAACAAAGTATTCAAAAGTAATCAGTCAACTTATATCCAATTTTCTGGTTAATGCAAGACTGACACCTTGACTTCCTCATAAAGTATTCCTTAATGGAACAGGTTTGTAGGAAATACCTAGGATTGCTTAGGGGGAAAAAAGTACTGGGCTAAAAGTCAGGAGACCTTACCTCTAGTCCTGGGTATGTCCTAACTACCTGTTTGACTAATGGCAATTTACTTAACCTTTCACATCACCTTACACATCTAGTAAAATACCTATATTTGGTTGGAATCTCTCTCCATTTGTCTCCTCCTTCCTTCTCCTATGTCGGGAAGATCTCTAGCAGAGGATCCATTCCTTTGGCTCCTCCGCACCATTTCAAGTAACAGCCTCACTGAGGGTCCAAAAATACCGAATGAACTGGGGTCACTTTCTTTATCCTAAACCAGCTCTAAAGTAAAGTCCTAGGGCAGGAACTCAGTGAAAAAGAGAACTGTTCTTTCATTTGCCCAACTTGCAGAAATGCCAGGTTCCTTCGTGCACCATGGTTCAGAATGTCTGCTAATACAGACAGTACTTTGCTTTACCAAATGCCTACTCCATGTTTAAAAGCTGGCTTATCCTTAAGTCTCAATTTGAGTCATTAATTAATCAATCAAACACCTCTGACGATGTGTTTACCGTGGCCGCGTAGGACCAGACCTGACCTTCCACCTCCCCGGCTTCAGCAGTCACTCCGCCCGCGGACTCTTACCTTGCGGTCGCCGCTTGCATTGACCTCCGGACGCACAGCGAAGCCGAAAAGGACCTGCTCGTAGCAACCAGCTACCAGCTCCATTCAACCACGCACGTGCCTCTTCAGCAAGTCCGACTCGGCGTACAGATGACGACATCGGACGCAAGGGAAAGCGGCGGACCTTCCTGCGTCGGCGCTCAAGTTACGTCAGGACGTAGGGCTGCCCTCAGGCGCCTGCATCCGGTTTCAGCGCTCGAAGACCGGGCGGAATTTCCAAGAGAGAATAAGGAAGCCACGTGAGGAGGTTCTTATTGATAGGAGAAAAAAATGGGGGCAAGCAGTCATATTCGAGGAAGCTGTGAGGTTGGCATGCCTAAGGGGAGTGGGGAGGGGCACCCTCCGCGGAAACCCCGTTTCCGGGATGTGTGAGGGGAGGAGGACCGGCTTCCGGCCTGGGTGGGGCCTCCGGCCGTGTGGCTCCGTTCGTTGGAGTGGAGGATCCTGCGCGATGAGATGTGGCACCACGGCAGGAATTAGGGTCCTTTTTTGTGCAGGAAGCGGTAGGACTGGCCTTTCTCCCTCACATTCTCTCTTGACAGCAAAGAGCAGGTGGCATTTAGGGCTAGCAGGCGGCGAAGTCCCGGCTCCGGAAGGCCGCTTCGGCTGCAGATAAGTGCACCTGCACGCCTTTCCCTGCAGCTTCTTCCGCCTGTCCCACCCTCGGGTCGTACTGCCCAGAGTTGCGTCACTACCTACGGAGGGAGGAGGATGCTTTCCTGAAAGATGTAAAGACTTCACTTGAGGATGAAGTGTGCAGTCATTCTTGGGGAGCTTCCGGAGGGGAATCTCATTTAAATTTCACCGCTTCCCCAGCTTGGGTGCAAAGTCAAACGTTAATAAAAGCAAAGATAGCCTTAATTTGCAGTTGAGGCTTTCGTAAGGTATGGAGATTCAGAGGTGTGTTTAAAATGACAGCTTTGCACTAACTTTTAATAGCGCAAATCACCCTCGGTTTCGTGCTAAACTCGTGTATTACTAAGACCCTTTTGTTTCCAAGAATATGTTCTCTGGTGTTCTGAATATTCAGTGCGTATTTAACTGAGGTATATTTGAGTGACACAGGTTTGGGTCTTGCAGAAGTGATTCCACTCGATGCTTTGTCATCGCGTCGGCAGGCAGGCTTTGTCTTAGGCACACTTTGGCGACTCTTCAGGTGCCGAAGTGCTGTAGTCAAACTTGTCCTCAGTCTCTTGGAGACCCGCGTAAGCATTCCTTTTTAAAAATAAAAACTCCTTCCATTTGTGCTAGTTATATTCTTTGTGGTACAGAAAAGTCATTTTACTATTTAAATTGCTTTCTGTTTAACACTTACTAACTTTGCACCGGAGAACCTCTAAAATGAGAGGCATGTGAATTGGCGAAGTGGGAGTCCCCAAGGCATGAGACAAACAATGAGTCAGTGGGACATTTCTTTGAAGTCTTCCTTTTTATCTTAAAAAAAATACGACTTTTTGCATTTGACTACGTGCATATCTGTTTAATTTAATGCGAAAGTAATAATGTAGCTCGGGAGGAGGGTGTTATTGGCCTGGGGCAAGTTTTCTGTTAATTTGGTGAGACGGAAGGAAGACAAAGGCGAGAGGTTGGGAATGAAAGGGTTTATTCCTACGCTTAGTCTCTCCTTTCTCTGATCCCTGGCGCTGGCCTCCTCGCTGTTCCTCAGACTCCCCACTGCACCAGCAGAACCCTGTGGGCAGGTCCCCCGTGACTGTGGGGAGGAGAGAATGTGTACTTCCTCTCCACCCCCACCCTGGACCGCAATCCTGTGACTGACCAGCGGGCCTGCTGCCAGTAAACATCCCAGAAATGTGCAAAGAGGCTCTTATTATATACACAGTGGGCACTACTAAGGCCAGGCGGGAATCTTGGTTAGAAAGTTCTGTTTTCCCCACAAATATTTTCTCACTCCCCCCAAAAAAGCTTTGAATAAAACTTTCAAAATCACGTATTTTATATATCTTAACTGCTTCCAGAATGCCCCTGTCTGCCTCATCACCCCAGGGAAATCTCAACTGCTGTCAGACAAGAATTAGTACTTAATATGTTCTTTGGAATTAATTTTAACATTGTAACACAATGATTACTGAAAGGAAAGGAGCAACACACACCAGCAATTCACCGGAGGGTTCCGCTTTATTAGAGAAAGGTGCTGGGTTATATAGGAAGGGGCATAGGGTGATTGTGGTGTTACTTCCACGGGGCTGGTGGCTGTTGGCTAGGTGCTGGGATTGGGAGGGGGGCGAGAGGTGATTGGGCTTCAGGTGGCGCCGGCGGGAACCGAGGACCC